TTTAAACTCCGGCCAAAACAAAATACTCCAACCCCTAACCCAATGGTGAACCCTACACCACAGGTCTCAAACTTAAAACAAAGAAAAACTCTTCTACTCGCCACTACCAGCCAACATGGTGCTGAATGATTTGTCATCAGGAACCAGACGGGGATTTCCATTGCAAGGGCCTTCGGGGTCTTCGTCACCAATTTTGACACTGTCCATGCGGCCACCTTGGCCAGAACAGTCATCACCCACGCCCATTCTTACTACCTCTGTCCCACATGTCACCAATCCGAGGTCTCGGATGACATCCATACTCAGAATCATGTCCGTGGTGAGAGTGGGGACATACAAGGCATCTCCTATCCACCGTCTTCCCGCAGCTTCTCCTGCTAGCCGAAACGAATACTCGGCCGTTGACTGTGTCCCATCTGCCATCCTTAGAGGAGCGGTAATCTTACAAGGCTCAATCCCCTGGCGTCGAAGATGTTCGGCGACTCCTCGCCCAACCAGGTTAACTACGGACCCAGTGTCCAATAACGCCTTAAAAACGCTGCCCATCAGCACAACTTCAACAAAGGGCCTTGTCTCCGAAACCAGCCGTTTCTCGTCTACTCCACCAACCAGGCTGTTTAGTTTTCCGAGCCACTCGGACCACTCTTCTGAGGTCGTTCGTTTTCGGTGGCCTTGCCCAGTTGACCTCCTGATGTCTGAGCTGGCCTGCCGTTTCCCTCACGACATCCACACTGGTTCACAGTAAGACCGGGTTTTCCACACCCAAAACAGGAGACGGTCCTCAGTTTGCCACAGCCTCTGGCAAAGTGACCAATCTCCTGGCACCTAAAACAACGTACATCCTTTGCACCATCTGCAACTTCCCTAGTCATTACGGGCCTTTGTTCACGGACCCGGTTAGAGTCAAAATCTACTCGCTGTCCAATCGACTTATCCTCAAGAGATGGTCTCTGAAAATAATGTCTTTCAACCGCGGCCGTTTCATAATATTTCTCAGCCTTCTTCTTGGGAACATAGGCGGTTTCCAAAACCAGCGCTACGTTTGGTGAAGGAGGAGGTCGGAAGGCGGCCTTCTCTCGCAAATAGGCCTCATAATCTTCAGCCAACTCAATCATCTCGGCCAGATTGCGGAAGTCACGCCGGCGTACCATGAGTTTGTATTCCGGACGCATGTTGCTGTAGATTAAGTCTAATCTACCATGCTCCGACAACGTACCGCTACGCCTAAGCAAGGTATTTATGGCAACAACGTAGTCCCGGAAGTGTTCGGTCTCACCCTGCGTCCTTTTCCGGATCTCCTCATCCAAATTCCTCTGATAACCAGGTGGAAGGAACTGGATCTCAAATTGATGCCGAAAAGCTTCGAATGAATACAGGAGCTCCTTGCAATTCCTGTACCATAGAAGCGCTGAGCCTTGCAACAGCTCCGGCAGCGCTCTGAGCAGGTCCTCTGATTTTATAGAGTACGAGACCATCAGCTCTTCAAGGCGCTCCAGGAACGACACAGGGTCTCGTCGGCCATCAAACCTTAAACCCCACTTCCGTACCATGTTGCATACTCTGGAGCAATCCTTTGGCTCCACCCTGCTGGCCTCATTTGAGAGCATATCCGAGCCTCGAGGCAGCTCCAAGCTAGAAGGCCGGGCTGGTCTCTCAGAACTATCATTGGGCCGCTGCCATCCCTCGGGTCTACTAGGTAACCCAAAGGTAGGCATTGGAGCAGCCACAACAGGGGACGTAGGGTTGGCGGGTCTCCCGAACCCATAGCCGACCTCATTTCTCGGCGAGCCCCTCGCCTGTCGCACCACCAATGCAAGTTGTTCTCGAAGAGTCCGGGTATCAGTCTCCAAAGACAACCCAAGAATCTCTTTGACCGCCTCTAACTCCCTGCTAAGTTCCCCTATCTCTATTTGGCCCGATCCCGTATTACCCAGTACCTGAGGTACGGTTCTCAGGGGGTCAGGAAGCTCCACAGTTGTAGTAGCCGGCGGTAAATATGTCGGTGCAGCAGCCCCAGCTGTACACAGCCTATCATCGCTATACCGACGGGCATTCCGCTGCTTCCAAAACGACGAGAATCGCTGCCGTAATTCCGCAGAAGTACCAGTGGTCACCAAACCATACTGGTCCATCGTTCTCATGAGCTCCCCTTTCGAGAGGTCATAGATCCAACCCACGCGACCGTCCCGGGGCTGCGACCCCAAGGACATAGTCGCTGGCGCGGAATAGGTCAGAGATGTTGTCACCGTCGTACCCACGACCGATGAAATAGTCGGCCAAACAGGTGAAGACGCAGGCCACAATGACGACGTCGTCATCACCGACAGTTCGGAGCTAACCCCAGAACTAGTTGTAACAACAGCAGACGTAATAGGCGTACCGCCCAGCACAGACGTCGTACTCGTAGTCACAACCATATTTAAAACTCAAATACCACGACTAATCCGCAAAAATAAGAGCGAAATTAATTAAAATGTATTTAACACCGTTATAATAAATCAAACCAATTATAGGTGTGAAAGTCAAACCACAAATACACAATAAGGGTTCTCACTCAAATAATATTCAACACTAAAGCTCAATTAATTAGCAAAATTAAAATTACTAACTAATATCTATGTATACAACCACTAAATAAATTAGGGTTCACAACACACCACGCTGTAACAGAAAACAGGTTAGGCCTACCCAACCGACTATAAAATCACAGCAGGTCTGCCTAAAACTCTGCTCAACAGCTCAGGTCCGCAGCCAATCTGCACAAGTCCGCAGCAAATCTGCACAAATAAAATTATTTTGTTCGGGCGCCGTTAATACGTCAGCAACTCAGCACCACTGCCAACCTCAGTCCCTGTTCGCAGGCGCCATCTTGCGACGAGATTTTCTGCACTGGGAAAAAAATATTAAAAGTGCAGTGCAGTCGCAACCGTTTGCCGGGGATAGCTCAGCCTACAATGGCTGGGTAAAGTTCCAGGGTCTGCGATAAGGTCAGGGAAACCACTAGGCCAAAAGCCGGGTCTAACCGGTATAGGACTGGCTCATACACGGGCACTGTGAACAAGTCAAAAACAAGTCACCACAACAAACGTGCAATAATCACTACCAGACCTACGCCGATTCTCCACACTCCTAGGGGGTCGTTGCTGACTACGCAACTCGGGCTTCGTCCTAACTATCCAATAGTTAAGCCCAGAGTGCCTAAAACACGGTGAGTTACATGACGACTTGCCAATAAAAACCACAACGCGTGTTATCACCAGGCGGGGTCTACTAGGCCACTAAACTGCAATACACAACTCTAATGCCCAAGCTAAGAATCAAACAGTTCACTCAATAATCGTACCACGTAATAATATACAAGTACACTATAGGTAGAGTGACTACACCACTAGTAGCTGGTCTCAATAAATACCAAGCCAAACAAGCAAAACTAAATGGCAATTGCACTATTAAAATATTGAGCTACTTAGTAGCAGATAAATAAATATTAACTACGTTCCAAACACTAGATAAATATCTTATCTGATAGCCGGTACTCCGCTATCCAAGCTACCAAGCTAACGTGTTGGATTACTAAGCAAGCTGTTCAGGTTAAATTAAAATAATTAAATGATTAATCAATACCAACCCTACTGTTACTACAACTACGGCTACTATATCAACGTTATATTGCTTAGCTGGGCTTCTGTTAATAGGCTAATAATATTAGCTAGAGATATAAAGTCAATGCTACTAGCCTACTGGCCTCGTGCTTCCAACTACGCACGCTAAATCGTGCAGCCTAGGTTTGTCGGGCCTCAGAGTTATTAGTAATATAGCTAACTCTTGGTACAACGCAAAATAATAACTACTACAGTCAATAAATTATATTATTTGCGCACTAGCACCTGCCCAGAACCGTCAGGAATACACTTTAATATTATTCCTGACTAATATAAATCCTAACTACCGTCAGGCTTTGACCAGCACGGTTACAACTCTAACTCTCGCAATAAAACCAGATATTAATATTATCAAACGAATAATATCAAGTCGTCCACTCACCACAAGTGGGTCAGTACCCAACTTACACCAACACTCGGCGCGATCACACCACCAGCATACCCCGACACCACTGTCACGTACACCACTGGACGTCTCCACAGGCACAGGACACCAACACTCACTTCTTGACTGTCCGAGATCCACCATTAGAATGTCCTTTCTCGACTATCCGGTAGTCCCAGGATACCCAAGCTTATCCGAACTGATAAGCCGGGTCAAAGGGCGCTAGCCAGGTTCGCCGCCGCCGCTTGCTTACCTCTACAATCGGTGCGCGGCCAAATAGCGAAAATATACCCCCCTAGGGAAAATAACTCGTTACATCCCCCACTTACATCGGGATGAAAAAAAAAGAAAACGGCCAAAAAGAAAAAAAATCTTTAAACTCCGGCCAAAACAAAATACTCCAACCCCTAACCCAATGGTGAACCCTACACCACAGGTCTCAAACTTAAAACAAAGAAAAACTCTTCTACTCGCCACTACCAGCCAACATGGTGCTGAATGATTTGTCATCAAAAATTTTAAATATTTTTTTCAGCTTTTTTATATTTTGAATAAAAGGTGTCCTAAAAATTTTGTTTTTTTAGTTACCATAACGATTATACACAGAATTACTCATTATTTCATCCTGAATCAGGAAATAAATAGAATATGTCATTCCGATCAGTAGTTGAAAAGTTATTCTCAATAACGAATTCTTAAAAATTTTGGTGAAAAAAACTAAAAACGCATATAAATTTAGTAAATAAGTTATAAATTCAATATTTTTGTACCTAAATCTTCTAACTAAGTCTAGTATAAACAAAATATACTAACTAGGTTGACAAAAATAAAAAAATAAAAAAAAAGTTGGAGATAGTGGCGTATCCCCTTAACTTAGACTCAGCTGTGTTACAGTTGTCACTTGTTTTCTTAGGTCGTTAATGTATTAATAACAACCAATTTGGCATATCTAGTCTATCCTTCGCTGGACCTTTCTGATGAAGAGGAGGAGAGAACATCAAGAGGTGGAAAGAGGAAGGTAGATGAAGCGTGGAACCCCAAAGCGAGAGTCGGCCATGTGGCACCTAAGACTGATCGGCCATGTAGGGAAGGAGCGAAGAAACAGTCTGTGGAAAAAGGCCTTGAGGCTGCTGCTGCCAAAAGAGCCCGTCTTCCTGTAAGTAGTTGTTTAGGAATTTTACCACAATATTACAACAAACATGCTTTAAAGTATTGTGTTTTTACTTGTTTCATAATAGCCTACTTAGGTTTTCATTTTATAAAATTTTATAAGAATAAATTAATTAAACCATTTTCTTTACTGCCATTAGAGACAGAAGTGCAATATGCATTGCCTCAGTTATAACAAGATTCAATAAAGAGTAATGTACTATGTTTTAGATGTAGCTACGTATAAGAAACAAATAGACGATGTATTCTATATCGCAATAAAAGTATCAGTTCTCTATTGAATGGCTCTAGAGTAAAAATCCACTGAAAAAAATGTATGCCACTTAAAATATTAAAGAGAGTGCAGAAGGAGACCATTTGTTACAATTTTCAAATTAGAAAAGAATTCTAATGTGAAAGTAGTGTATTATGAAACATGCTTTTACAAATCACAAGTACAAATCAAATAATTTTCATTTTGAGGTGAGGAACCTAGGAGACTTCTCCTCTCTTTTGTGTTGCCATAAATCAGTGTGTTAATTAGTTTTTGTATCATATGGTTACTTTGACTTAATTTCATATTCTGTATTATTACATTTGTTAATAAAAGAGTATTTGTTTGTTTACTGCAGTCTCCAAAAAGGCCATATCACAGAAAAAGACCGAAATTTGTGCCTATACCAAGTGTGGAACAACCTTCATCATCTCAATCTAACGTGCTGCCTTCTAGTTCTTGCAGACCAACCGTTGCAGTTACAACGTCGACAATAGATTTAAAAAGTAAGTTTCTGTTTTATTTTCAGTACTTTCCAAAAATTTATTTGTTACTCCTTAAGCTATAACATCCTCCAGTATATTGTGCACAAGACTAAACTAATCTAACTTCCAATTACAAGTATCTATGCGAGTTTTGCTCTCTCTGGTGGCTGAAAGCTATACTTGATATGTGCTGCAACTAGAATACAGAAATCCGATCAAATTTTTCGGATATCCTCACACCTCTAGTTGCAACCTAGGAGTCAATTTTATGTCAGTCAACTTTTGGTTGACCAATAATGTTAGCAGCACTTGAATCCCATCGCCCTCAGTAGGAGTTTACCTGTTTGTGTCAGAGCTAAACAATGTGTGGCTCTGGTACGGTAGGTAATAGATAGTTAAATGCAGATAAGCACATATTAAGTATGCAAGCTTGTTAGGGGTCTGCGGTACAGAAAATTTAAAATCGGTTCTCAATACAAAATCGGTACGGTACACGGCTACAGGTATTTTTGTGGTTTCCTCTCAGAATTGTATTTAAACTTTATTTTAAATTTTAATACATTGTAATACATGTGTTTTTATACATTTAATACAATGTATGACAATGGATGTTATCCTACATTCATGGTTTTCTAACAACAATTACTGTACCACACATTATTAAAACCTTTTACTACTAAGAGGATTGTGTTAAGAAAAAACACAGTTAAAGATAAAATGTTTACCTATTTTACTCTGAGGTACTCTAAATATCCTCTGATAAATTGATTTTAAAATAAGAATAATAATTTTTAGGAATAAACATGTTTGAAGCATTAATTTGACAAGATAATTTCACACAACTGGTAAATTATTTCTAACCAACACAATGTCTAGTTGTTTTTTAAACTTTTAAAAACCTATCAAAGCATTCAGTACAAAGACAGTGTAGTTGCCAGCTGTCCACATTCAACAGATGACAATGAAAAACTGGAGGTTATGATGAAGTAATGGCAAAGAGCATTTTTTTATCAGCCTCAAAACGAATTATAATATGGATAAAACTCTTGCAAAGCTTTTTCTGAAACTAAAATTTTGATCAGCACAGTGTTTAGCACAAAGATTATTGTCTTTTCATTTGCATAGTTAACTTCCACACATATCAACCAATAGTTTATCCCAGGCTCAATCCAATTTTCTTAGTATATTTTAAAGATCTTCCAAAATCAAAAGACCCAGGCCTAGACCTAATTATTCAGGAGGGCCTATTTAATTGAGTATCAAACAATGAGCCAGCAAAATCACTATCATCATTCTAGCTCATAAGATTTAGATTGCATAATCACAATAAAAAAATATACGAAACAAAAACATTTAAACCTTAACAGCCACATCCAACAATATAAGGCAAGATACAGAACATGCAGTGACATTGAGACTGAGTAGGCTTGCATAACGAAAAAAAAAAAACATTATGTAAACAACGCTTGTGGTTTCATCAATAGAAAGATCAAATATCCATAACAAATATTTTAAACTTAAAATAAGATTGTAGAATGTAGATTAGTTACAAGTTTTAATATGAAGCCATAAACAGTTTTATGGCAGTAGGCAATGGCCAGCGGCAAATTGAATATTCACAAAAATACTGACTAAGTTAGAGGTAAAATTTGACTTTCATCATAAAACTATTACTATATTTTTATGATAAAATAGAATTGAGGAAAGTCGTAAAGTAATAAAAGTGATAACACTCAACGTACAACTACCCCGTTGACTACTGAAGGTAATTTATTATTATAATCGGCTGTACCGGAACCGAATTTGTACCGCGTAAAATGGTGTACTGAACCGATGACGGTAACTAAGCCAGGTGCACCACTGACTCCTAAAGCTTGTGCTTCTAAGCTCAAAACATCAATTTGTGCCCTCCTAATTAAGGTTAGGTTTTCATAGTGAGCTAGTAAGCTAACTTTCCGTGGCTTCTTTGCTTACGTAGCCTTATCTATACAGTTTGCCACTAATTATTTACCTAATATATACTAAGTATTATGTGTTTGTTTCAACTGTTTTATTTTTGTTTTTTTTGCAGATCGCAAACCAAAGAAGGGTATGGCGACAGCCAAACAAAGACTGGGAAAAATATTAAAACTCCACAAAGTGTACCATTAAATAAAGTTAAGCAATTTTTGTACAGAATGTTTAGGTATATACATTTCCTAGATGTGTGATAAACTTTCTCCACTGAGAGTGGCTGTTATATGTTACACGTTTTTTGGTACAATAAGCCTGAAAGTCCCTTAAAACTTGATTGTTAGTATGGTTTTTTTTTTTTGCACTAAAGGTTTTGCATATCAGGTTAGTCACATTGTTTGTTCCATTCTTTCATACCACTTCCACGATGACTATTGGAGCATTTCGAAGGTTACCTGCTGAATCCAGTAGTTAGTCATTTTGTATACATCTGGTATTTAAAATACCCCCACCGCAGCAAACCTGCAGACTAAGCGAATTTCCATTTGCCTGTTTGGATTTTCACTCAAATATCTCCTTAAAAATGTTATATAACAGTTTAAAAATTTTCTCTATAAGAATAGCAGGAAATTTAAAATTTGAAATGAAATGAAAAATGTCTTTCCCTACAGTTACCTAACAATGTACATGTTCTCTCACTGATTTGAGAAAGCAAAGTGGCCAATTTGCCCATCAGTGAGACAATGTTAACACTCTAACTTGTTGTCAATGTTAACACTTGTTCACTCTAATAATTTTGTCTCACTCGCTCCAGATTTGCAACGTGAAGCCACAAAATAGTGAGCGCGTAACATGCAGACAAGGTCGTATGCGCGCGAAATACGTTGTCAGCACTGGCTGTAAATCAGCTGGTCAGCTGTTGTACTGTTGTATCATTAAATGTCATTTTAAAAGTTCACTTCTGTGTAAAAATATTTCACGTTTCTTTACCAATTTATTTGTTTTATGGTAACTGTAGGAAAAATATAATGTGCAACTCGAGTGCAAAGTGCATTTGCCTCACTCGAGAAACCATTCCTCACTCGCCTACGGCTCGTGAGTAAGTATTTCTCTCGAGTGAGTCGATTGCTCCCTTTGCTCACTAGTTGCACAAATAACTATTATTTAAGAGGTGAAGTAAGGACTTGTAAGTCCTCTCTACCACTTAGCCTCTAAAACATAAATTTAGGTTTTATTTGAATTTTATTCTTAACTGTTAAGCACAAGACAATGCTTAAAAGTATGTTAAATTAATTGTTTTTTAAGCTCTACAAAATAGTATGGAAATAAATTGCAAAATTTTATGTTTTTAGGGTCATAAATGGGAAAACCCCATAAAAGTGCCATTCCCATAGTCCGATCACGCTGGTTCGCAAACTTGTTAGAATAAATGTAGGTTTACACAAAATTTAACCAAAATCGGACCACTTTTGCTTGGGTTATCTTTATCTATCATGCTAACTGGCATATATATATAAATACATTATGAAAAACTAAGTACCCTTTTAAAATCTATATATTAATAGGCAAGCATGTTTCTTTAAATCTTTTTCTCAGCTTGTGTGCATCGCAGAGAAAATCTACGCATACAGTTTGAAAGATTTTTTCCTGTAGATGTGCAGAATCCCTATAAAAATTCAAATAGGCTAAAAAATAAGCACAAAAAATGAATTTGAAACTTGAAAAAAATTAACGGGCTTTATGAGTTGCCATGCTGGTGACAAAATAACAACGAAATATAAACAGAAGATCAAAACAAATGTAAGAAATTCCAATAACATGTTTTATTTACAGTGTGGGGTGAACAATAGAGAAGTCTGTACAGTGCAATTGAATTTTTTAGCTAGAAGCAGTTAAGCTGTGGTGGAATATCTTTGAAGATGACCCTTTTTAGTGCGAGCATGTGTTCATACGTGTCAAATTTTGAGGTTAAATCAAAACAAACAAACTGGCATTATATTATTTTAATGCACAATAGTTATATACTTACTCTACTTTAATAAAATCACTTGGTCATTAGATAACATTTACTGTTAAATAGAGATGTGATTCCTAATTCCAAATCAACTAATGAATAATTTGCTATTTAATTATTGTCTTCAAATTAAGTGACGGTTGCTTTGAAAATAATTAATTTAACATGAGCAAATATTAGAATATTGAATCTTCTTGCAAAATTAAATTAATTTTGATCATTTTATTAATATAATAATGTAGTTGCTGTGACTGGGATACACATGATAGATAAACTGTTGGGACATAATGATGATTTACGTTTCGTTTGGAAATATCTTAAGACCCAGACCCACCTTTTAAGGGTTTCAAGTTAGGGGTCAGAATTATATACTCTCAAGATGACAAGATAAACCTTTATAGACTAACGTTTTGAGTTTTGACCCATTTAAGTTATAATTAACTGCTAAATTGTATTGCTAATAATTCACTTATGCAATCTGATAAGTTTACCAGGTACCAAACAGGAAAACGTTATACGATAGGCCAAGGAAGCATGATTTGAGTTTGGTTTATAAAATGCAGTAGCCTAAATACTGAAGGTTTTCTAATAAATCAGACAATGACACATACTAAATTAACTTATTTGATCTTAAATTAACATTGTTTTGTAAGTAATACAACATTGTCCCTAATTGACAACATGCCAGTTTGTTTGTTTTGATTTAACCTCAAAAATTGACATGTGAACATTGGACACATGATCACACTCGCTACAGCCAAAAAGGTTCAGCTTCAAATATATTCCAACGTATACCTCAACCGCTTCTAGCTATAAATCCAACTGTAGGCCTACATATCTTTGGTCAAGTTTTCGACCACTGGACGACCTCTAGTACAGTTTATTAGACAACGATTAGTTTCATCAGTAATGCCATAGTCATGTTGTTTCTATCTTAACAAAATACAATAAAAGTATTTGCAAAATAAATAAAAATCATCTGACTTCATAGGTTATAGGTTTTGATAAATTTAAATTTCATCTCTTTTAAATGGTTCGTATTGCCCTATTATATATAATAATTTTCTTTCTTAATTTAGTTGGACGATTTTTTCAAATATTGGTTTGGATTTGTTAATGTTCATTGTGTTTAGTAAATTTTCTGGCTGTTGTTTATAGTATTTGTATATTGTATATATAAATCTTCTTTACTATGTAATTTAGATTTGTCTTTTTCATATTCAAGTATTTTTTAAATTTTCGTCTTTTCGTGTATATTTTTGAATTTTATGAAAAGGTCCTGCAACTAGATGAAGAAAGAAAATTATTATATATAGTATACAAACCATTTAAAAGAGAAGAAAATTACATTAATCAAAACCTATAACATTAATGTAGTCAGATGATTTTTGTAATTTGTTTTGAAAAAATGTATTTTCATATTGTATTTTTTAAGATAGAAACAACATGACTAATAATAACATTTAATAAATAACATTTATTTTAAAAGGGTACTTAGTTTGTAATAATGTATATATCAAAATAGTAACCCTAATCACTATCATTTTCATATATAAATATTTATGAATCCAAACAGATGGTGTTTTTGGCCTTTGGAGACCTCAGAATGAAAAAGCAAATCGCTCCTTGGTCCAGGTCTTACAATGAGACCTACGGTAATAGCTTATTCCCGATGGTGACATTCACTAAAAAGAAAGCCAAAGTGCTATGCTAGGAGTAATTTTCAAATGGGATAGAGTTCTCCTTGTATACATCTAAGGTAGCCATAATGGTAGATGACAAAAATCTGTTACTCCTTCAGAAAACATGGTTTTACATGTGATTATGATTCAGTTGTATTAATTTGATTAAGTTTTCTTAAAAAGGTAGTGCAAATTTAATATATTTGATCTTAATAATGTTTTGTGTGTCAAAGGAACGTTTCAGGTCCTTGCAACTTACCATATCTTAAAAAATAAGTTATTTATAGTATCATCAATTAGTTTTTCCAAGACCTAGTAATGTTATATGGTGGTATTGTAAAACAGGAAAGCTATTGGCAAAACAGAGAAAAGCTGTTGTTTTTTTATATTATTTAATAAGAAACTTAAAAAATACTTGAAGGAGAAATACCCCCGCCGCAGCAAACCTGCAGACTAAGTGAATTTCCATTTGCCTAATTATATTTACACTAAAATGTCTCCTTAAAAATATCACATTTATTCCCTATTTAAATAGCATTAGTTTAACAAGTACTCTAGGTTTGCTGCAACAGGGAGGGTAAACAAGTTTTTTCTATGTTAATAGTTTAGTATGAAATAAATGCATTTTCCAAATATGATAAAAATATACTCATAAATAAGCAAACAACAACAGTTTTACTTATTCTCCATAAGAATAACATGGGAATTTCAAATTTATATTTTTTTTTATTTTCTCCATAAACATTAGGCGCATAATAACGCTTCTATATACTAAATTATTTTTATTTTTAAGCTCTACAAAATGGTTTGGACCCCCCATAAACCCCCATTCTCATGGTCCGATTATGCTGGTTCGCGAACTTGTTAGAATAAATGTAGGTTTACATGTTTATACCAAATTTCATCAAAATCGGATCATTTTTGCTTGAGTTATCGTGCTAACGGACACACACACGTATATATGTATATGAATTTGAACGGTTGGTGTTTTTGGTATCTAGGGACCTCAAAACGAATAACTAAATCTGTCTCGGGTCCAGGTCTTACCATGAGTACTATCCATGGTAATAGCTTATTCCCTATATGGGAAATTCGCTAAAAAGGCTTGGACCGTTTTATTTTTATAATCAATTAGGACGAATCATGATTAACTTAATAATTCATAATCATTTATGGAAAATAATAATTTTTAACACTTAACACGTTCGCTGCGGCCCATCAATGGCGTCGAATGAACCCGATTGCCAGGCGATTGTCTTTCAAATTTCGGTCTGATGAATAGCAAATAATGTACTACATTACGACGAGAGTCTACGTAGTTTGCTAAAACACCCACAGTTTGCAGCACTGCTTGAAACGTAGCCGGTCCCATTGTATTGCCTATTAGAGGGAGAAAGACTGGACAACAAGTTGAATTCTAAGCTTGCCAGACGGGGATTTTACAGGAAAATTTACTACCAACCTAAACCACAACAAAATTCAAGTCACACACTACACGCTAATGTGGTATAGGACCGCCTTCAACCGACAATAGGCCCGCACTGAGCAACAGATTTTAAGATTCATGCACTGCAGTGTGGGTCAGTACTAACAAGGCCGCGTGAGGGCTGTGATCGTCGTGGGTCAGTACCGATCCACCCGCAGCGAACGTGTTAAATTTAAAAGCTTTATAAAATAAGGTTATACAATTTTTTTTGCACATGATTTTCTTTGTGAAATAGTTTGTCTTTCTTAATTTGAATATAGGCATGTTAAATTTATCGTGAATGTTTTTTTTTTCTGAAAATACATTACCAATGGTTACATATTTATGCTGCTATTATTTTTATTAATTGTCGAATGTTGGTAAAAAAATATTTTTATTCCAGATCTTCATAGTGTACTACAAGCACAAATTTCAAGTTTCATGTTCTGACTCCGAGTACTACATAAATTAAATTTAACTTTTCCTTCTTTATGCTCAATTTTCTGTAAAAGCCTAACTAGTAGTTGTAAATTTAATGATCAAAACTGTTTTAAGGTTTGGACATAAATTTATGTGTTAAAATATGTATACTTGTATAGTTTTGTCATATAAGTTTCATTTTATGTTCCTTCTTTATTCTGTCGGTTTCTTTGTATGTATTCCTTCCAGTGGCAGATATCACCCATTTATCTGAGGTTTGAAACACCGGCTAAAACTAGTTGTAAGAGCCACTTAAATGTTTTACAAAGTTTTCATACATTTTGGACTGTATCTTCTTACTTATGCAGGCAGAAGTTAAAATTTCCCAACCTTCAAGGACGCATATGCCATTTGTGAGAGCTTCCAATTTGGCAATTTATGAATAATTCCCTTAATTTTGTCCTAATAAACACTAAAACATCAAAAACAATTGATTTTCGGCGTTTCAAAATATTTACACTTTAGCAACAATAGCATGTACTAATGCAAAGAAGAATATTTTCTCCAAAAAAATGTCAGGTAAATAATGCACACCTCAATGAAATGTCTTTTGTATAGCAGGTACAATGATACAAATTAAATATTCACATTTGTTTTATTTCGCACAAAATGTGAATGAAGAAATGGTTGTGACGTGATCTGTAGCAATGAACTAGTGATAGAAAATAAAAGGCATTTGCCAAACACCTTTTTGTTGATCGCCCTGTACCATATGTATCCATTGCCTTACTAACATAATATCTCATTATTATCAATATGTTATGATATTTGATGACTTATACAAACCAATTGCCTTTTGCCCTCAGGAGTAATTTGTGTCAACATCAACTGTTGTTAATTTGAGAACCACTCTTCCACACTTAATATTATAATGCCAAGTTTAAGTATCTGGTAACCTCAGATGAGTGGGAATTAGCTGTAACTTAATCTAATGAAATGAACCATGTACCTGTGTAGCTTATTATCTTCTCTATTAGAACAACATGTCAATGCATTTGTTGTTGTCATGTAATTTCTTGCACATGAGAAAAGTCTGTATTGTATAAAAACATTCAAAAGTTGTTTTTTCATGTTTTGTACAGTTAGTCTTTATTATATGTAATCTTGAAATGTGAGTATAATTTAAAAATCTCATATTTAAAACTATTTAAGATATTTGTTACAGTGGGAACAGAATGTGGTTCTAAGGTATGTGTGCTTCAAATGTGGCGGCATATGTTGATTTTCACTGTCATTGTATTGATTTGTTGATGTATGTTGTGATACCGGTGTTTTGTCCTGTTTTTTATTCAAGTAATGAATATAGTTAAAATTACATTTCCACCCTGCCATCGCACTATGTATTCATACATTTAATTAAGTCCGTTAATACTTAAGTTACTCCCAATGCGTTTGTGCAATGTTAGGTTTACGTAAGTTATTTAGTGATATAGAGTAACTTAAAGTGTAACAATGTATGTGGTCTATGAAGTAACAAGACCAACGCAGACATTGACTAATATTTTTTGTATAAATCTCAAATAAATGTTCTTTTATACAATGATACTTTTTGTGTTCACAATCTAGTAAATAACATCACATTGTCAATAAATTCTTTATAAAAAACAATACATTCTCGTAGTAAAAATGTGATCCACCAGGACTTCCAAGAATCTATTTATTTTGCCCATTACAACTCTTCCTAAGTAACAAAGGTTATACTAAATCAATTGTCCGGGTAACCGAGTGGTTATAGTGCTCGCCTTCAAATCTGATGGGCACTGGTTCGATTCCAAGCAAGATCGTTTATAGAGCCAGATGCCATATTTGTCATTGGGCTATGAATTAATGATGCTATCTAACAAATTGTCGACGTTAGGTAGTCATGAGACCAGGGTTTGGACAGTTCCCTTTCAAAACTTAAAAAATTGCACTGGCATAGAAACACACAAAATAAAAATAAAATATATTTACGCCACACTACATCACTTTGACGAACTTCCCACGCAAGGATTTAGTCCAGAAAACAGCTGTTTGCCGCCAGCTTATTCAAATGGGATTTCATTGCGTACTACTGTTCTGCAATGAGTTTTGCCGGACACCAATCAGCTGATTATACTGTATTTGCGTGGCAATTAGTGGTTATAAACTAAAACATAACCTCTCTCAGAGGTTATGACTCGTGATTTTTAGTACGTAGTTGATGGAAATATATAAGGATTTGTACGGATTTAGTAGTATGGCGTAAACTATCGTACGTAACTCGTCCAAAATGTGTGTACCGGACTCGTATGGTAATCCCGTACTCGACTTCGTCTCGCACGGGAACGACCACACTCGTCCGGTAAACACTTATTTTCAGGACTAGTAACGTAATATACTATTACACCACATACAGTTGTTTTGAGTAATTACTTTATAAGTTATGATATAATGAGCTATAAGAAAATCAGCAAAAGCTTCTTACTTCTAAAACAAGCAAGTAATCCGATCAGAGTTAAAATCCTGGTCCTGTTGTGCGTTTAAATCAATATTCTAGTCACTTGCTGTTTGTTGTATTTGATAGGTGCTACCATTGACTTTTTGACTCTGAAGTAGTTATCCTACGTATTTGGGGACCAGCTGTAGCCAATTATATATTCAAATATAAAATAGTTGAATGAACTTCCCATTAACTAGTGTAACAATTCAATTTTCACACATAGTTTTTCATATGATGTAGTAGGTGTGACCTAAAACGATGTTATGGTTTGATATAAGTTGCACCTTTGACTATTAATAGACCTGGACATTCCATATGGGGTGTTAAAGTTGTTGGCAGTATTTTAATTAAAAGGGATGTACAGTTGGATTGTGCCAATGACTAATGTGCTGATTTGTCAAGTATGCCAACTTTTTAACCAAGTGAAAGAGGTAGGACGACTTATTGTAAGCTTTAGTATGTTTTATGTCACATCCACTATCTCAGTAGCAAAAACTAAGCTAGGGAATGGGGTTGTCTTCTATCAAAAGTAAAAATTGTACTCACAAGGTTGTGTAAACATGTACAGTCAAGTCCCCAATGCAATGATTTAAAGGGTATTTTGTTGATTTTATTGATTTTCAAAGTCGAGTTTTGCCTATGCAGACCAAAAACAACCTAATTCCTTTTTATGAAAACCACAATACTATTCCTGAAGCCACGTTAACTGGTCTTTATTTACCTGTTTTGTTTTTGGTAAGTATGATTTGAGGTGGACAAGTTTATCATAGACCCGACTGTACCGAATCTTTTTTTTTAATGGTAACATAAACATCAAGGTTTACTGATGTGAGATCCTAATTTGTTGATAATAGCACCAACCTCTCCAATCCATAATTAAGACTTAAAGAGTCATTCACATTTCAAATTGAAACCCCATTTCACATTTTTGAATTAATTTTAATTTAACATGTGATTTACTAAACACCCCCAAAATGGTGTATTTATCACTTTTCAAGAGCTTGAATTTGCACCTCCATTAACTTTACGTCCGAGGCCATAGGCTAATAATTTGGTCTTATTAGTAAACTGTGTTTGCCAATATTTAAAACGCAATCTCAAGAATCTATCAAGTTTAGGAATACTGTATCAGGCCCACTTTTATAAATGGCAGATAGGGCATATGCCCAGGGGCGCCGGAGGTTTGGGGGCGCCCACCGGGTGCTCCTTCAACCACCGCCTGCCCGCACTAGTAAAAAAGGGGGCGCTGCTTTTGGGTTTGCCCAGGGCTCCACTGCCCTTAACGCGACCCTGTACTGTATTGTGTGTAGGTTTGGAAAATGTCACAATACAAGTTGGTTCGTAAATAAATACAAAAGAATCAGTTAAACTGAAATATTTATTTCACATTAATTTTATTGTTATCATTAAATTATTCTGAATATCACTACAGTAGTGTTAATGTTAAATACTCTTTACACTTGAGAAAATATTTTTCAACTACCTACTAAAAAAGACTTATCAACTTGAAACTGATATAAGTATAAAACTAAATGAAATACACAAATCTGCTAAATTATTTTTTTACACCTCTAGAAAAATTGCTTTGTGCACAAACATAAACTGTATAATAGTTTCAAAAAGATTATGCTGACAGGAATCTATCATGAAAAATCCTCTCTAATTCCCTCAACTAAAATATCAAAGAATAAATATAACATTCACAACAGTTATTTAATATTATACATATTTGTATCACATCAATTTTGTATGAACAAATCAAGAGCAGATTGTTTTACTTTTGTGTTTTTTTGGTTCTGTCAAGTACTACACATGTTTATAAGACAGGATGAGAACAAAAACTGTGGTATTTTCAAAGAACCTCGAACATTTTATACAGTTTATATGTGATCGCGGAAAGATAGTGTTAATGAAACAAGTATAAATTTAAGGTACGAACCTTGGCGAGTGCCTTAAAAACTGCTAAGAGTGTTATTAAGATATTTATGCGAGTTGTGTACACTTCTTTACCTACAACAGTTTTTCAATTACTAACAATCACTAGGTACTCATAACTTCTAAGAGAGGTTAATTGCCACTGACAATGATGCAATGAATCATTATACCAAACACTACTTGCACCACTCCTTAAAAATTAAATTGGTCTTAACAGCTGACTAGTTGAAGTTCGAAGCATTACAATTTTACTTTTTTTTCTTAATTCTTGAACCTCATTGGTTTGTTACTTGTGATGTTAAGTAAAACAATGCTGTTAAGTAAGTGAACAATGCTGTTTAGCAAATCTTTTTAATTCTAAGAAATGAACTGAAATGGCTAGTTTAAAAAACTGTCATAGGTAAAATTACTGAGCCAAACCTCATTGATTTATATTAGTTATGCTCTACAGTTTTGAGCTTAGTTTGCAAATTAATTTGTTCCTCTTGTATTCCTTGTTCACTCTATTTTGATAAAATAGGTACTTAATTCGTTAACATTTCTATATTATTTTGACAAATATTCAATTTTCCTAAGGTGGTTGAAGTTAAACTTGTTGTTACTATATCTTATCAAGGCTTCACTTGGCAGAAAGGAGATGGACAGGATGAACTCTGTAATCAAATACTCCCAGTGAAGCGGCTTATTTTGTATCATCTACGACACTTTCTGATGAATCATTCACGATGGCTATTAATTTGTCATCTCCGTGTTATCTTGTGGCTTATCATATCGCGTCTAGAAAACACATTCAAGGAAAATTGGATGTTTTTTCAAGTGCTGGGAAATCTTAAGATTTTCATCTGCAAATTAGCACATGTACGATGGCTATGTTCAAGTCATATCCAAAAGTTTTACTTTGCTGCCTTGTGTTGTAGCCCAACCTCTAATCTTTAGAGGGAGGAAACGTTTCCTCTGGACTGTGGAAAAGATTGAAAACAAACTTTAAATTTTACAAAGTATGCTGTAGAACATACAACAGGAAACTGAAGGGGGTGCAAATATATCATTGCCTAAGCAATCTAGCAACAGAAATATTAATTAGTTCACAATACTAAGAGTATTTTTGTATTTCTTTGCATAGTTTAGGCCAGCCACACACTGTAACAGTCAAGGCAAAGTGAGGCTGGCTGCTCGACTTGCCTTGTCGCAGATCGGACACATATATAGTGTAGAAGGCAAGTCAATGCACCAAAGTTGGGGCGTGGTTTGTATTGATAAAAACAAAAACACTGTTTTACGTCAATGGTTGCGAGTGTGGTTTTGCAATGTGTGAACAGGAGATTGACTGACATTTACTTAGCTATGGTCAGGTCCGGTTAGATTATCAATTACTTTGGGTCAGTCAGCTTCAACATTTGAATTTGAACTTGAGCAATTACAAAATAAGATTGAATAGATAAACATAGCTTGGAGGAGAGACTTTACATAAGTATGGTGTTGGAGCGGGGTCTCCTCATGTAAACATGGTGTACATGATAATATATTGTTTTTAAACTAGATGTTAAGACACTTGACACATTTAATTAAAAAAGTGTTAACTTTGTGTTTTATACAAAACCGTAATCCAAGTTTAATTTTGAAATTATTTGGACTAAGTACAGAATAGTAGATGTCCTGTGAATTCACACATGCACAGAGTCTACAAAACAAAATATATGACTGTTTCCACTCTTTGACAAAGGGTGACTTTCCACCCCGTCTCGCCTCAACTGTCTAGTGTGTGGTCAACCTAGTTAGTGGTGTCATTGTTGTTTCATTAAAGTGCATATTATTGTCAGTGTCTAATAGTGCATTATTTTACTATTAAATAACTTTATGTTTCAGCCTTGTTGCAGAGAGCATAAATAAATAATATAGCTGGCACTGTATTCAGCAAAATAAATATGAACCAGAAAAGCATTTTTTTTATTGCTTATGTGTGTAAAATCAATGCAATGATTTGGGCACGATGAGGAAATGAAATGATTACTATCATCAGAAAATAGAAAGCACTTTGAAATGTCCACTGTTATTTATGCTGTGGACAGATTAAAAACTTTGTGGATGGTTGGGAGCAGCATAATAGTTATATATTTCTAGTAGTCAGCCTTAAAAGAAAATGATGCATTTTTATCCAAATGCAACTGTTGTCTAAAAATAGCAAGCCATAAATTTTATAGTGTAGCATTATTAATCCTACATAAGCCCAAAAATATTGCAAAGATTTACTACACATCAGTGGTAATAATTTCTTCTTTGTGAGGTAGCCACTATTTGATAGTTCTCAATCTGTGATGTCCTTTTTTAGTTAAAATATTGAGTGTTTTTGAGCAAATTTGTCATTCATGTTATTATTAACTAAGCAAGTTTATTTCATGTCTTTTACATACATTGCCACCCTAAGATCAAGTTATAGTTTTTTTTTTTTACTCACTTGATAGGCTAAGGAACATATAAAGTAAATTTTAATGCCTTCAGCTCAGTTTGTGTGCCCAAATATAGTCTATTTACTTGGATTACAGAAAATTTGGTTCAATGTTGAAGTCTAATTTATGTCTATGGAATTAAATGTAGTCGAAAGAGTACAAACCTCGATTTATTTAAAAGTAATACTGTTTGTTAAAGTACTCTTTATCATATCAAGCCATATAAATGCACTCCATTAAAAAATTACAACACCAAAATTGTTGGATGACTGATCCATGCCATCCATATTTAAATATCTGGAAGTTGGTTTATAAAAGCATTAGTCTACAGATAAGAATAATCAGGAATCCAGTATCTAAAATATTAGTAGAAAATTCTGTGTAAAAGTGGTACAATAGAGAAATTAATTCAGACGTTTATTGTAGGGCTATGGAATATTTTATTAAAAATTTCATAGTTTACATAATGCTTGACAATTTTAAAACAATGCATTTACATGGGCTATCTATAGCATTGCTATAGATTCCTGTTAACTCACAGGGTAAACTTTTACTTGGTGTCGAGCTGTAATAATGTACGATACAGTCACGTAATAACCTCCTTATGACAGTTAGCCGTCAACCATAAATAATAGCCTACGATATTTTTATTGCTTACGCATGGTTAATTTGGCAACCAGAAAGATTACATTCAAAATGTGAGTTCTTGAACATAACTGTATGTAGAAAAATTAAGCTATCATAGAGAGCCACAAATTTTTGATGTAATTTCAAATTCTGTTTTTAAGCTGATCAACCTTTTACAAGTAAAGCAGAAATAAATTATGATTTTGGTTTGAATAAACAGACGTTTGGCATACTGTACCTTTAATACAGTATAAATAATATCAATGATGTGACTAATATTACAATAAAGTCAATACACACACAAAAAATGTATCAAGAACTTTAACCTTTTTAATTGCTGAGCTGTCAGACATTAAAGTTAAACAATATTTATTGAACAAATATGTCCCTTATCTATTTTATGGATTAAAGCATACATTTTGAATTAATTTTTGTTATCGACTTGAACAAAGAATCACTTAAGAGAAACAAAATTATTTGCGATAAAGTGTTATCAATCAATCAGAATTACAATACTTTGTTCCCGTTATGGGATTATTAGTGATTGGACAGAAACTGAAACCAGATGGCAACTTACTGAAAAGTAATCTTCTTTAATTAAACACTGCAAACAATATTAGATCTAGAATTAACACAAACAATATTATTGCTTTGCTGGGCATTTAGTAGGCCTATGATATACAGATTTAACCAAATGCTACACATGCCATTACAAGAATGAGTTATTTATTTTTACCAGAGAAATCGTTGACCATGATTTTAAACTGGTGTAATAGAATCTCAATACTTAAGCAATAAACATTGTTAGTTCACACTTTTTCTTTGAAATATGTGTTTCTTTACGAATTATTATTAACATTGTTAGTTCACACTTTTTCTTTGAAATTTGTGTTTCTTTACGAATTATTATTACTGTGAAAATGATAATACATATGCATTTAAAACTGTCAAATAACCAAAATGTTAAATGGTTTGATTATAAAAAAACTTAAGTAATCATACTTATCAACTAGTTAGAGGTGCTTTATTGAGATACAAACAATTAAGTATGTTATAACAAACTCTTAATAAAAAATACAATAACATAACAAATATCTACAAAATGTTTCCTTAGATGAATGAAAAGCTATAACATAGAATGAAGCAGTCAAATTCGAACATTGGCCTAATTAAACAGAGAAACTCAAAGCTCTTCTGTGATATGAAGAAAAAAGCAATATTTTATCAGAAATTATGATTTTTGTGAGTGTGTGATAACATTTTTAAGTGCTGTTTAGTGTACTCAGTTTGAAAGTGTTGAACATTAAGTTTTGATTAGTGGTTACAGGCATTGATAATTGATATACTAACTCAAATTACTCAAAAGCACCGAGAAGTAACAGAATAAAAGGAAGACTCATACTCGAGGAATTTAGTGTGTAATGAGAACATGGATGTCTTGTAGCACAAGGCTTCATTAGATCGCTTCTCTTACTCTCAACTATAGCACAACTCATGATCTATGTGCTTCTACCATAACACGCCCTCTATGTTTTGATACTTCTCAGTGATTCAAGTTATTCATTTGTGTAGAAATAAAATATTAGCATAGTTATATTCAATTATTTAGCTACTGCCCATAACCTCTCATTGTATTTAATTGCTCTCCCGAGTTAGGACAGAGTTATCACGTTCACAATTTGACAACCTTACGAAAATATGTGATATGCTACAGAGGTAATTATTGGTGAGACTTTGAGTAGAACTATTGTAATGAAAATTAAAATTTCTTCTGTGGATTAAAGGTGACAATAAGTTTACAGTTAAGGGAAGTTACAGTGACTCTTGCCTGGGGATTTAAACAGGCAGGCACTTGGTCAGGTTCAGGCCAACTACAACACGACTGTGATCTGCTCTCAACAACTATTGCTACGACATATTGGCACGAGATATCAGTGCTACGACTTACAATAAACTTTCCGACTTAGCAATAAATTATATTTTGATAACAGAGAACACCGAAATTGATAAGAAAAATTGTTTAGTCACTATGACTTTACAATCTAAAGTAAAGTTTGACGAGTATGAAAAAATATATTAACAATAGCATTGGCCATTATTGGTCAACATTGTCAGGAGAAACAATGATTCAAGGTGGCTGAAGGAGTTTTTAACTGAAATGTTTTAATGCGGTTCTCTTTTTATAAATGGTGGGAGATTTTAGAGCATAAACAATGAGACCCTATAAAATTTAAATTCCCTTGTCATAGTAGAGGTAAACCTGCAGACTAAGCAATTTGCCTTATTAGATTTTCACTATAATATTTCCTTAAACAGGCAAGATTTACTCCCTATTTATATCATATTAGATTTATGAGTACTTAGGATGATTGCTGCTGCAGGAGTCAGGATTTTAAGTTGCTGGTTACAAAATTTAAATTTATATCTTTGACAACTAACTATACCTTACTGACCTGTAGTCAATAAATCCTATCGTTTCTATTGTTCCTATTTTTTTGTTGATTGATGACAGGTCAGTAACCTCATTTATGTTATTTAATTAATCATGCAGGCACATTATGAATAAATTATATATCTTTGTTTGTAAATCTTAACAGCCACAGCCAGTCATTGCAAAATGTAAAAACGATTTCTTCTGAAACGTTAACATTGTATTTGATTAGGTATCAAGTAACTTTTACACGGATTTTTAAAACAATAGTGATACGGATGAGTTGAAATCTGGTGTTTTAGAATGGCATCTTGGTTCTAGGTTGTGAATAAGCAACAAAGAAATTTGAGATTATTAGAGCGGAAATTGTTGAGCATAGGAATACAGAGCAACTGTCGGGGTCGTATCTAGCTTTGGCAGGCCCTGGTTTAAGATATTAGGCTGCCCCCCCCCCCCTCTGCTTAAATTACATGTTTGGGGCCGGGCCCAGGTAAAAATGTCTGGAAAAACCGGTCTAAGTACGGCCCTGGCAACTGTTCAATGATTTAATTAATAAAAGCACGATGAGGTTATTTATGGAACTCTGTAATGTCAAGGCAATCACGGGAGTAAACCAGGCTTAGAACAATGGATTGATGAACTCTTTTATCAAGTGATTTTGAGTACAGATATGACACTGCATCCACAAGATAAGAACTGACCAGAAAAACCATGGAGTTGTGAATCTCCCGTTCTTTACTCATCGATTATACTTATGGGGGAGTCATAGTTCTTGTGAACTAAAACTAGTAAATGGAGCAAGGTATTCTTAAGTTATGTATGGGATTTACCTTTCAAATCAATTTTGAAACAAGAATGGCAGAATTATCCACCCTTTGAACGGTTTGCTTGGTTGCCTGATTACAGTAGCCTCCCTTCAGCTTCACCTGAGATGTTGACCTAAATATGATATTTTACTTATTTATAACTCTCAGTGTCTGGCATCTATGTGTTAGCTGTTTACAGCACAGCACACACAATGTGCAGAATACCGAGGTTGGTTATTTATCAACTGAACAATTGATTTGATCAAAATTACCGTTACTAATAAATCATTAAGGATTGAATATAAAATAAATTCACTTACAACATAATTACTTTTACTGAGTACTAATAAATAATCAACAAAATAAATCTGAACTAAAACTATGGCAATAGAATATTAATCATTATATAAATCGTCAAATACTCAAATGGAAATTAATAGACCTACTCTTGTCTTATAACTTTTAAAGAAAACAAACCTAAAACTTAAATAAACATGACCACTACTGTTGAGTTTTGCCTTATCACAGTAGATCATGAGAACTAAATCTACACTAAACACTGACTGGATCTTTACATCTAGTCCATCATATTGTTATTCAACTGGATCATGGAACAGCTTGGAAACAAAATTAATATATCTTTGAGTAATAGGTATCAGCAAAAGAGTTGTACCTATTGAATTGTATACATAACAATTCAAACCTTAAAGATGTCCAGAAAGTCAGAATTAGATCAAATAACTAAATTCACACTTTTATTTTTGTCTGATGGTCCTTTTTTGGTTTATTACAACACAAAACAAACTTAAAAAATTTAAAATAGGATAACTTCGATTTCAATTTAAAATTAGTCTTAAACTGAGTTATGAAATTAATTTTAATTATTTGTACCGCACACATTTCTTTACATTTCCAGAGGAGCAAAACTGATAATAATGAAAAAAACCAAGTACATTACTTAACAACTAAAAGTCATACAATTTTGTAATCTAAAAAGAATTTTCGGGTCTCGGATACAATTTTATAACAAAACAATTTTTTCATGGAACCTGATGTATTCTTGTAAACTCTAAATCAACACTTGTGAGCCAACTGTAAAGGAACATTGCTATTATTAAGGTTTAGTTCTTTGAATCAGTAAAGCAACAACTTTTGCCGTTAAAGTCATATTTGAAATAAAATGTCATTAATCTGTGATGTAAACACACAGAAACAAAACCATTACGTATTTCTTTGGCTAAAAAAAATCTTTTCAGATATTACTCCACTTAACACAAATCTCTCCTTCAAACTGTCAATATTTGTAGAATAATGGCCAATGAATCTCACTTGGATTTCGGATTGCAAAATCCAATATCCATTTGATCCACGAGTTTCCTAATTTTATACAAATAAAATAACTACTAAAAAAATCATACTCAAAGATGAATGTGTACAAATTACCAGGCTTTTTACATTGTTCTGTAAACGACTCCTTTAAGCAGCACAACTCTAAATACCACACCGAACCAGAAAATGTAGGAGAAAATGGTGCATATGTACAAGATGTGAAGTCCAGTGTTATAATTCCATGTCTTTGGTTTCATCTTCACTGAAGTCTGACATAGAAGATTCACTGTCTGATGAGACGCCCTGCTGTTCTTGCTCTCGGAGAGCTTCTTCTGTGGCATACTTGCGGACATACTCTGCAAAACACCAACACTGTGCAAGTCACAATTCTCAGGAATAGCCCTTTAACCTATGAAAAGAATTTTTCATGTATGCTTCCTTTTCTCAACCTGTTTTATAGTGTACTGAAATAAAAACCGACAACACACAATCCTTATCTGGTTTTCAGCGTTATTTTAAGTTTAGTATGTTTATACACGGGGTATTCAGAAAGTAACGATCGTTTTTAATTAAAATAAAAAATAAGTAAGTATATTTAAAAAAATGTATTAGGCTAATACATCTAAAAGAGCAACTAAAATACTACTTCTTTAAGTAGTCTCCAAACAAATTATGACACTTATGCACAAGCTTTGAAATTCCTTCATCATAGCAGTCTGCCGCCTACGATCTCAGCACACCTTAAGCTCAGCGTCGTCGTCGAAGCGCTGTGTTGCTAGCCAGGTCTACATTCTTGGAAACATGTGAAAATCGTTTGGTGCAAGGTCAGGACTAGGGTGGATGAGGAAAAACCTCCCATTTGAATGAGTCAAGGAGTTCTTTGGTGGGTTTGCTGTGTGAGGTCAGGCATTGTTATGCACAAACAAAGTTGTCGATGTCAATTTCCCTTGGCGCTTGTTTAAACTGCTCTCCTAAGGTTGCGCAAAGTTTCAAAGTACCGTTCAGTGTTTATTGTTGTACCACGCTCAAGAAAGTCAGTAAGAAGCACACCTTGCCTGTCCCAAAAAAAACCGTTGCCATAATCTTCCTTGCTGACAATGTTTGTAAACATTTTCTTGTTTTTCTGGGTAGCTTGTGTGCCCCCAACTTATGGACTGTAATTTCGTTAGCAATTAATGTGTTTTACCCATGTCTCGTCCCCAGTTACGATGGGATCCATTAGTGAATCACCATTTCTGTCGTAGGCATCCAGAAATGTCAAAACTGCCCCCACTCGCTGACCTTTATGGTGGTTCGTGAGCATTTTCGGCACCCATCTTGCACAAAATTTGTTGTACCGGTAGCCTAACCTTTGTGTGACAATATCAAACAACAAAGTCAGTGAAACTTGTGGGAAACAAAGCAAAAGAACAAAATTTTCCTTACTTTCTGAATAGCCATAGTATAAAGTGTACCTAAGTGTTTATATTATAAAATCTTAGAGCATAAACATTCTCTCTGCCATTATACAAAATTCTATGAATTAGGCCTAAACAATTAAATTTTGATTGAATTTTACTAGTTGTATTATTAGTGTTCATACTAAATCCCAGTCTAGCAGAAGTAAAAAAAATAATAATAACACGAATAACACAGTAAATATGGATTAATACCGCCCAAGAAATCTTAAGCATGTATATGCTGCTAAGAATAAAGCATTAAACCTGCAAAAAAACCATGGAGGAACATCAGGTAATGAGAAAACCTACCATGAACCTTCTTTTTGTACTCGTCAGGTTTGTGTAAGTACATTGCAGCTGCATCTCCATTGAGGGGATCAATGGGATTGGGATATGTCAGCAGCTGGGGTAGAAACGACTCAAAAATGTTGGACAAGTCTGAAACATGAAATAGGGGATTTAATTTTTTGGACACACATCAACCTCCTGAAAATAAACATAAAATACTAGGTTGCGAGGTAAAAAAGCACAAGGGTTATATTTGAAAAAATTATGGTAATAAATTACAGTATGCTAACGCTTTGGTTTCATTGCTGATGGCCATTTTAATCTGAGCTACTAGTGATACCAGTGTAGGTAGTACCTTTGACTATTGATAGACCTAGACATTCCATTCCCATGTTAAAAGTTGTTGCCAGTTTTTGAATGACTATGGTAGAAGATAGAATTTTGGGCTGTAGCAAATTGTGTGAGTGGCTATTTCAAGCTAAATTATTTGTTTAATAAAAAATAGGCTACAGATAGATGGGATGTCTAGTTTCAGTATCCACAAGTCATGGTGGTATTCTGTATCTGCTACGGGGCAAACACATTTGCATACCATGTTTAGTGACACACATTTACTCTGAAGACCATGATAGTGTTTATTTATAGGCTAGGTTTGAAACTGGAACCAGCAGTTCTTTATCATTAGGCTTTTAAAATGGTCCTGGCTAAGAAAATAGTACGTTTTGGTCAGAAACAAAGCTACACAAAGCATCTAACTCCACTCTACACTCATATTTGAATTAAAACACACCTAGTTGCATCCCCACCTCAATTGGTAATATTGTATAGAAGACCACAACGGTCTAGGCCACTGCGGGGTGCTGTATTTCATTACAAACACATCCTGTTTAGGAGGCTGGGTTTAGTCAAAGTCAAAAGTAAATTTGAGGATAAGTTTACCATATAGAGCTGTCCAAGCTTGATTGATGACATCCAAACAGACTGTCCCAGAGACTTCATCTATGTTGGGGTGGTAGACTTTATTCATGAAGCCTATTGAAGGTGACTTGAAGGGGTAGTGCTCCGGCAGATGTACTCGAACCTTCCATATGCCTCCTTCATAGGGAGCTGAAATTTAAATTATTACTTTTAATATAACAATGGTGGACAGAAAAAGTTATACGTTTTAAAACTGTTAAAACTATAATACCAGGTTTGATTTCTTATAAAATTATATTTCTTTAACCATTCTTGTACAATGGGTGGCAGCCTATTTTATATTCAGTTGTCCCTTGATATCCATTTCACCAAGATAAATATGCCTACATTTTTATAATGCAGTATTAAGTATTTGGGACAGTATAAAAACTAAAAACATGATTAAGTAAATAAAAAGTACAAAATAGTAAATGAAATTTATTAAAACTAGGCCTCACAATTTGATATAGGCACCTATTTGAAAAATAATAAAGGAAATTTAAGTAGAATAAATGCATGAGAGAATAGTGCTGAGCGATAGAGATTCGTGCCACTGTTTTGTAGGCTTGTTTTGTTCTGCTAATAAGACTGCTGTTGCTGACAATGTGTTGGACTACTGAGTACGTCACTTACAAAATGTCAGATTATTGTGGGATGACTGTATATAAACTACTAATTGGATTGAGGACATTTCCATTCAGTGTTTATGTCTCCCATTCAATTTTCTTTCTCAATCATTAATCATCAAATCCATATAATAACTGTATTACTTGTGTATTATTGGTTGGAGATAAGCATAAATGTTGTAGGCCAGTCAGCCCCAGAGTCTACTAGACAATGAGGGGGGGGGGGTCGTCAAACAATTTGGTATTGCTGGACTACCAGTCCGTGGACCAATCCGCAATAGTTCTGGGACTGTTTGATACTGGTACCAAACTGAACTATGAATAACAGTCTATGTAGTTTTACCTGTTTTTCAAGAGTTGGACAAACAGTCTGGCAAAGTGCTGGACAGCCAGTCCCACCCAGTCCCCTCATTAGTGCTGGGATTGACTGTCCAGCCTCAGGAAAACCTGGGACTGAACGTCCGACTCCCAAACATAATACAAAACTAGGAATGTCCATGTTTTTGAGAGAAGTATGAATCATACTTCAAACTGAACTGATAATAGATACTATTAATCATCATCCTGTTTTCATAAGATACGAGGGTTGTTTTTTAAGTGAGGGACGTTTTTGCATATGGATCCGTAACTCCATTGTACTCCACGAGGCTCCTTGCCACTTATTGGCATCATTTGTGAACAGAATGACAAATTTTGTAGCTCTGTAGCATACATGTACACATCGCTGTGTGTTTTGATACATTTTTTACCAAAAGAAGTTTATGACATTAATCGCTAGATGATTGAAGTTTATGGCCCTGATGCAATGATAGCGGGAACAGTGCAGAAATAGGCTAGGCAGCTAAAAATGGCCGTGGAAATGTTCATTTGGAAGGAATTGTGTTTTGGTGGGTACCCAGACTTCTCACATAAGACCACAAAGGAAAAGGGATTTCACGGTAATTTTTACACTCGATGGCCAATTTCCGCACTTTACCCTTACTCATTGCATTAGGGCCATAGCCTACAGTCATCTGGCGATTAATGTTGGCATCGGATATGTTTCTTGCAATCAAAAAAGGTATAACTGTTATCTCACACGGGGCAGGAGCTTCGATAGTATAACAAATTTTGAAAAAACACAGAGAAAAGTACATGTCAGCTACAGAGAGCTGCAAATTGTGTCATCCTGTTCACAAATGATGCAAGTAAGTAGCGGGAAGCTTTGTTGCGGCGTACAAGCCAACTACGGATTTATACACACAAATGGCCCTTGTATTGTATTGTAATGTGAGAGGGGTGGACTCGTGGTCCAAGCACGTCAACAGAAGCTTATTGTGCATCCCCACTTGCCGCTAACTGGGTAAGCCTATGCCCGTGTTTTTGACTAGGTGCTAGAGCTTTTGCCCAATGTTAGTATCTGGTTAATCAGGTGGCTGCCTTAGTCCAAACAGAGCCCTTCTTCTAGCCCCAAGTGTATCGCAATCGAGAATAATGTGTTTTTCAGTCTCATCGGACTGGTTGCAAAGTCGACAGTCCTTATTGTCATTGACAATTCCTAGAGTGTGGAGGTGTTTCCTGAAATGGTTGTGTCCAGTGATAAGAGTAAGTACCTGCTTGATCTGCTCTCTCCCCAGCTTTATAAGCCAGCGAGTGAAGAGGGTGATAGGTTCTGAGAGCAGTTTCTTGCCATACGCCAACGCTCTAGGTGTTGTCTCCTGGACCATTTTTTGATTGGGTGTTTAGTGGTAGCTTTTCTGATGCCACAGAATGGCTCCAGTCCAAAGAAGGCTCTCACCTTTTTTGGCCAGCTTATCTACACTCTCCTTGCCGCCTGTGCCTACATGTCCTGGAACCCAGCCAAGAGTTACACAGTTGTATGTGGAAGTCTTGGTAGCATCTGGCTAGTCCTAGGTTGGCACAAGCCAAGATACCACAGATTTCTGCCTGAAAGATGGTACTACAGTATCGCCCCAGACTGGCAGAAAGTTCTGTTCTGGGCGATCGACTGTATACTCTAAAGCCAAATTTCCATCGATTAGGGAGCCGTCTGTGTACCAGACAAAGGTCTTCGTTTCTGGAGATGCCCTTTGTGGTTTTTCCACTAATCTTTGGAGCGAAATTCAACAGTGAAGGGTTTGGTGAAAACTGCCTCTGTGCTTAGGACGGCCATGGTCATGTGAAGCACAGGACTCGCAGCCACAGTTTCTTAGCTGATGGACTGCTCCTGAAGGCACCAGTGGCTTGTAGCGTAACAAGCCTTTGCAGGCTTTCTTGTTTGAATATGACCTAACTATTACTTGATTCATCTTTGTCCACCAGACTAGCAAGCCATAGGTAATTTGAGGCCTAACCACAGCCTCATACCAGTGATATGTGGAGTTTAATTACCTGATGGCAAATCTCCTGGACGTCATGAGCGCCCAATTGGGCTTACGCAGTGCCTTGTTCAAGTGGTTGTTCCACGTCAGCTTGGAGTCATGTGTCAGTCCTAAATAATTGACTGTACTCGACACTCCCAGCTGAGTAGTGCCAATATTCAGCCTGGAATGAGAATCAAAGTTCTTTTTCCTGGTGAAACACTACGACTGTCTTGGAGGGATTAGTGTTGTGTCCCTCTCTGAGACACCATGCTTTAACATACTGTAGGTTGACATGCATGATATCAGCTACAATATTTGTGAATTTTCTTTGAACCATGAGGACTACATTATCTACGTAGTCCTGGACAAAGTTGCCCTTGCTGGTGAGTTCCCATAAAAGACTGTCCACCACAAGGTTCCACACGAGAGTGAAATTACACCGCCCTGTGGACATCCTTTTATGGGTACGATCACAATTTTTCCCAAAAAAAAGTCAGCCATGGTGTGTCTTGAGTTAAGCATAGACTCTGTCCATCTGCACAAGATTGCTCGAGTCTACGCTCACAAACTCCCACGCTCGCACTATAGCTCCATTTGTTACATTTTCGAAGGCTGCTTCAATGTCCATTAAGGTGCATAGGGCTATTTTCTTAACTTTCAGGCTGTCCCCGATTCTGCTAACCAGCTCGAGCAGAGCAGTTTTACAGGCTGGTAGGCGTGTTGGTTGCGATGAAGGGATGTGTTTAGAAGCATCTTTCTTATGTGCCTCTCCACCAGCCTCTCCAGGGTCTTTAGGAGAAGAGACTGATGTGGCGGAATGATTTGGCATCAGGGTAGTCTGCTTTTCCTCTTTTGGGAATGAAGATCACACTGATGAGACACCGGGCCTGAGGGATGTACCCGTAGACCAAGCTTGCTCGAATGAGTTCAAACATAGGAGAAGATTGAGAGCATCAGGTCCTTGCTAAAGCATGGCTGGATGGATGCCGTCTCTCCCGGGAGACTTAAATGAACCAAACTTATTGATTGCCTATTTAACCTTAGAGAGAATGACAACTCTTTTCGGTATGTTCCAGCTTTCACGATCAGTTCTCAGCCAAGAACTTCTATACGTGCAGCCGGACACTCGTGTGTTGTCACTCTCAAAAATACAGCCAGGGAAGTGAGTTTCAAGGAGAAGTTTGAGACTTCCACCAACCCCAGTGGTGTATTGCCCTCCTGGTACCGTAAGAGATCCCAAGAGGCCAATAGGTTTGTACGCTAGAATCCGCTGAAGGCGGGCCGCAGCACTGAGACTGTTGATGATGTGTTCTGTACATACGGCCCAACCTTACTTAACCTTCCATCGGGCGCAACATTTACCTTACGAACCACTTTTGCAGAATTGTATTGTATAATCTTGTGCACCCTTGTGTTTGACCTTATTTAGCGATATTATAAAATGTATGACGCAGAACTAATTGCGATATTGTTGGCTAGTGTTGAAAGGGAGGACAAGGAACAACATTTAGAAGAAAGAACTAATGGTCCGTGAGTTCGGTAAGCTTTTTTTTCAAGAAAAAGAACTTTGACAAAATGTGTGGTCTGTGGTCTTTCTAACAAATGATTTTTTGCATTAGACAATAGGTGTTTTATTTAAATCACCATTGCAATTTTTTCTACAGAGCTTTAACAAAGTAAGTTGTCCTTGTGAAATAATTATCTTTTTTCATAATACCATAGGTGTTTTTATGTCATACACTAATGCAATTTTTGTCTAAGAGCTTTGATTGAATGAGTTGTCCTTGTACAAAATTATTATTTTTATTAGACCATGTACGTGTTTTTATGTCATACAATATTCAAATTTGTTTTCTAATATACGATAGTACTGTATAAGTACAAAAAGTAAATCTTTTTTATCCACAACACTTACGTATTTTTATTTGTTTTTATAAAATTTTCCACTTGATATAGGCCTACTACTTAAGTAATAGTGTAATAACTCATAAAAATGTTTTTCTTACAGTTTTATTGCTATTAAAATGTTTTTTACTCATCATTGCATAGTTTTTGTACTCCCAGAGGTAACTTCCGTGAGCGCCCTTTGGTGTTTGAAAATCAATGCGCCCGATGGAAGGTTAAAAAGCCACCCTTGTAACTATTTCAATACGACACCACCAATGTTTGTATCTTTTATTTTGGAAACTTGTGGTAACTTACACAGTTTATTAGAAAATGAGAGATTATTAAATTACCTGTAAATGAGAACTCTGAGGATCTCAAATTAACTTGCAATAGCTTAACATAAGGCTAATTATAGCTATTTAAAGAGAATTTTAAAGATTAGATAGATTATGATTTAAATAGTAGCTACATATAATTTTTTTTCATTGACAGAAACACATAATATTAAATATAGGCCTAGTATAAAATTACATATTTATTTTAATAAATAATTTACTTACTTCCACTTGGTCCATAAAACTTGACACAAAACTCGTTGAGCCCACCCAATATTGTGACTTCATGTTTGCTCTCTATTCTGAGAAAACTATTAAAGAAAATCAAATAATATAAAATGACAGGTTGAAGTAGGCCTACTAAAACAAATGTACAGCCCCTGGCAGTTAACATTGTTATTGGGAATCAGTGACATTTAATTTCATTTGTTTGAAAAGGAGACACGACCATTGGAGCTAATAAATGGAGCTGTTTAAAATGGAGCTAATCATTGGAGATGTAAAATATGTAGGCTTAAATATTATTATTTTTTATATTGGTCCTCTAGAAACTTAATAAAACTGACGGTTGAAATAAATAACCGCTTTAAAATCTTATATAGGTACCTACTTTTTTAGCGCGAGAGTATTTTTCTTGAGTTCTCGAGATTTTAATTTACATAAATTGGTTTAAATACCTGCTTCTAGTAATCCAATTGTTGCAATTTCTGTCACGCAACTAGTTTCGACTTCATATAGGTAGTTGCGTGACAGAAATTGCAACAATTGGATTACTAGAAGCAGGTATTTAAACCAATTTATATATTCAACGTAATCCGGAGGCTAACATCAAAAATGAATTTTTAATTTACCATATTTCAGTAATTATACCTTCTAATCAACAAAATGCTATCATTTTTAACTCATTTTGACAAACACGATGAACTATGCTAAACTCTGCTAATATATATACTTTTTATAAATACCCTTTCCACTGGGTATTTCCTTGCCTACATCACGACTAATCATTGATATTTACTGAAATTATAATTATTTCTACAACAAAATTAAAATCATCCTCGACTAATCTTATCAAGAGACTGTACCAGTCCATCAACCTCAAAACTAACTCATCTTCTTTCAATAAAACAAAAACAGCCCTTGGAATATACAAAAAATATCATCCAAAAGCGGAAAAGAAGAACTTTGATGGATATTGGGTTAAACAATCAACCCAATAACGTTTGATAGAACTCTTATAAAACTACTTGTGGTTTTCTCATGTTATCAGTATATTGTGACCAGAGTCTCATGCATATGATAAGTTGATAATGTTTTACCTCACCGTTGTCCTACTCAATTTTCCTCTTTGTTGCATTTACTTTTCTGACCCAACTGAAATAAATTTGAGTATAAAAAAATAAATCATACTTCTAGTCGTATGTTTCTCTGTATTTTAGAATTTGTTTAGCATTTATGTACCCATTAATATATCTTTGGATAATGGTTCATGATGTATCAAGGTTGTAGGCCTTGAGCACTTTTGAAGTAAAATCATCTACATCAAAATAAAAGAAACTTGATACCTTAAATGAGCTCTCTAGCAGAAAAATTTAAAATATGTTTTTTTTTTATTACAAGTACCGGTAATGTACAATTAGACTAATATAGCCTATTGAATTTGCCATATTTTTATCAAGTTTTTACAATTTCTTTTACAAATCTGATGACTTGCAAAACACAAGTACAGAATGGATTGTTTATATTTATTTATCTAAATAGAAATTTTCTAATTCAGATACAGTATTCCCAAACTATAGGGCTATGAAGTGTCATGTTGTCTTTAGCTGTTGTGACACCCTTGGTGTAGGCCTACATAGCAGACAGATATGTAAGGAGCAGATGATTGTCAGTGCAAGTGTGAAATCACGGTTGAGCTCGCGATAAATATTTCTTGTTCTGCTTCTTGTTTGTTTTATTTTTGTCAAATGAAATGTGATATCACAAAAGCAAATAACGTAGGAGCCTACTAAATATCAATAATAGCCCAAAATAGTTTAATATACTATGCATTTTGTAGACTAGAATAATGAAATACATTTTAACACGTTCAGTGCGGCATACCTTCAAACAGGCGCTCGATAATGGCGGCGAGGCCCGGGCGAAGCCCCGCAGCGCAACTGAATCGGTGAACGCAATTGGCATTCAAATATTTCAGTCTGACGAATAAAAAAAGAGCAGCGGTGATTGTGCTGTGTTAGCCCGAGAGTGGACGTAGTTCACTGAAACACCCAAAGGTAGCAGCACTGCCTGGATTCGTAGCCAGTGTCTTTGTAAAGTGGCTTGAAAAGAGAAAATTGCCGGAACCGGGACAAAAGTATTGCTAGACGGGATTTTACGGGAAATTTTAGTACCAACCTACACCAGACTAAAGCTTAAATAATCTAAGCTACAGGCTGGCAACGATTATAACGTTCCCCGGCAATGGCTGAGCTCACATCACACTAAACTAATGTGGAGAGAGTGGCATGACGCATGACGTCAGCTTTAGCTGATGTCCGCCACCAGTCCTAGTGTTGGACATCATCTATTGATGATGCCCGCACTTAACGTGTTAATGCATTTTTTTTATAGTGAGGTTATGCAAAGCTATTTTAGATATAGGCCTAGGTTATCTATAGTTCACGTTTGATCCGCCCTCGGTTAATAGAGATTCTACTACAGTACCTAAACATTAAAAGTGTTTTGAATTCATATCTCTTTTAGACTCTTACTGTACCTAAGGTAAAAATATACAATTTTAAGAGGTTTTTTCTTGGATAGTACCCTCTGTTAAGGTAATTTTGATCATCCGGATGTGCCCCATTCCAATTAATCCAGATTATTGATGTTCTACTGTAGGCCTTTATGAATCTTTGAAAAAAAAACTCCAGGAAGAGTACATAATGAGGTTCAGGCGCTCAATGAATAATAGACTAAATCCTAAAAATGTTACAGTTAGACAAGCTATATTCTGAGCAGTCTGGGCCGTAGGATCCAATGTCCTGAGCCTGTGAAATAATTTAAATCCTGCTCTAGCCAATTGCAGATCTGCTATATCACTATGTATGTACCAAATGTCAGTATTTTGGGAAGAAGTTATACAAATTTCATTGGGTAGGCCTACCTAAACACACAGCTAAGTAACCAACAGGCTAACCACAACCAAAACGATGTGGGGTAAAATGTGTTCAAACACACAAACTTGCAGAAAAATAGAGTAAACTAGGATCCTGCTAATTCCAACTAATCTGCACCGAACCCTGTTAGGATTAGCCTACGTTGATCCAAAGGAAATGTATCCGTGCTCCCGAACCGTCAAACTGCTGATTCCATTACACATCTGGGAACCTTTATTGATGTCAGCACCCAATGACTTCGACAACACCCAATAATCTACGGTGTGGAAGAGTACCTGAACTGGTATGCTCTGTAGAAATCCAAGGACACTAACTAATATTCACATTGCATCTCCTTATTTCTAATTTGACGACTCACTTCAATATTTAAGATTTATAAATAAAGCTCTCTCTCTCCCTCACAGACAAAATCATTAGCTGGAAATGCAGCAAAAATAAGTTTCATTAAAATAAAATAATGTATTTTTATGACTGTAAATAGTCAAAATTGCTCACGCAATTATTATCTTCTTCTTCGATCGTGGAAACATTCTCATAACTTTCCGTGGTCACAGCAAAACCCATGATCCTTAACTGACAATCTTACTATATGATGACCATAAAAGAGAACTAACGGAACGTTAATGAGTTGACGCTATTTTATAGGCCTATTTATATATTAAATTTCTCAGTTTGTTCAAATTTCACGTACAATTCACAAACTGTTTCCCAGTAATCGAAATTCACGCACAATTCATGGACTGTTTACCATTGATAAAAATTCACGTACAATCCCTGGTTTTCTAGTGTTCCCGGCCAGGTAGACACCCTGATTAGTATTTTAGAACACATTGCTCTTTTGTTATTCATATAAGTTAAGTACCGTAGGCTACAGTTTCTAACATTTTTCCTGAAACAAGTGGTTCAGATTAGCTGGATATTTGGATTAGGAGATCTCTAGTATAGAGGTAGACCTTGCTAAACCCACTATAACTTAGGTACCGCTTAAAGATAAGACGACTAGGCTATTAATAGACCAGTCGTGGGTGATAATTTGATTTCGCAACCCATTCTTACACCAAGCAAAGTAATTTTATTTCTTTAATAAATATAGAACTGCAAAATAAAATGTATTTTTTAGAATTATGAGGAAGAAAAATTGTACAAACAAGGTTCACCAATAGCAAAAACTACCTGTATCAAATCAACATTCTGCCACAAATGACCACATGTGGATTTGCCGCATTGAAGGTGTTATTAAATGATTAGCCACTAACCGATGAACAGTATTTAACTGTATTTAACTTGATAAAAGTTGTGGGGTATGTTTAACAATGAAGCCTCCCTAAGGACTGTGCTCAGTATTTCCGGTACAAGCCTAATGTACCCCATTGGTATTCTGGCCGTCTCTGATGATAAATGCCTCTACAGCACCCGCATGTGTTGTACACTGATCAACAGCAAATAATTACTCTTGATAAGTAGTTAATCAAGATACAGGATATTACAACATGTACCCTAGCCTAGGTACCGGTAGTCTACAAGCAGCATAGGATCACTGTGCTCAAAAATTAAATAATTATTTAGTATCATAAGAATTAGCTAGACTATGATAAAATATGCTAAATCCATTAAATGAATTTTCCTAACTGTCCAATCTAGGCTCAGGCCTATGTCAATTGATACTGGTGGTATATATTTGTAATTAATACACTAAAATTCTAACTGGACATAGATGCTTGATTCAAAGGACCATTTGGTACAGCTTTATTTAAGGTTCAACCTTGAATGTATTGCAAACAGTAATCCAAAGGTCCAAATTTCATTGAGATAACTTTAAGGGCCTAATATAGATGTTTATTAGACAATCTTCCAAATTATCAAAGACTAAATCTGAACTAAATAGGCCTATGACAAATTAGCCCACAGCATGTGCTTTGCAAAAATAAAGTTTGGTCCTAATTGTGAACAATTTTTGGGAACAAATATGTTAAGTACAACTGAAGTAGTGGAAGACGTAGGTCTATAATACATTAAATGGGAAAAAATGCATTTTTGTGACAGGTAGGAATAGTGACATTATACTTGAATAGATAGTTAGAATGTGTGATTTTAGATACGTCTACGATATTCTACGCAGTATTGTTTCTACTCTAATTTACAATAATAGATAGATATGTTAGCCATGTCAAAACAAAGAACAGCTGATCAGCTCCCCATTATGGCCTTGTTCAGCTGAGATCAGATGCAACAAAGGATACAGTTTTATAACATCTGTGTCCATTCTTCTTTTACCAGCACTTGGAGAAGACATCCTGGTAAAAAGGGTCTTCGACCCAACTTGACGGGTTTAACACAAAATACCAATGCAATAATTAATCACTCATAAGAGGAAAAAGCTTGATCCAATAGAGTTATCACTTTCAATATCTCTAGCAAAATCCTGCTTACCTGACCCCCCACTACACTGACACTAGCAGCACTGCTGCAGTGTTTCCACTTGACAGGGTTGCCAACATCACCTGAATTCTGTGTTCTAGGGATTCTCAAGCTCAAGTTAGATAAATTCAACAAGTAATAGTAATTTATCGTAATAATTTGCCAGTCTGAATAAAAAAATTGATTTTTCTAAAGCTTTTGGTTATTTTTCTTGATTTATTCAATAATTATTAATGGTGAGATTGCGGTTTTTTGTTTCAAACGATATTCAGTAATAATTATAGATTCATTGAATATTGAAAGATGCTACGAGTCCTAGCATGTTGTGTTTGAGATAGATCAATAATTGATCAATTTACTTTGAATTTTAGCAGCTCTGACTTTTATCGTCTTGAAATAAAAGTATTTAACTTATGAGTTAGTTATAGCATAGATAAAACATAGTTATGTTTTATCACGGCCTCCGTTTTATCTATGGTTATATGTTTCAATGGGGTAGCGGATTTTTATCACCCTGGCATCTTACCCCCTGGGCAAACGTGACGTCACAAACCAGGGGGTAAAATTCCGGCCGCGAACTTTTGAGTTTCGCGACATCAGCTCGATGGATTAAACGCGGAATTAAACATATATTTTCACGGTTGTGAGTTTAATCAGAACACATCAAATTATAAAAACCTAGGATGTACGGCTTGGATTTTTACCCCCGGATTTTTACCCCCGGAATTTTACCCCCGGAATTTTACCCTCGGAATTTTACCCCCCGGAATTTTACCCCCTGGCCAGATATATAAATTAGTGAGAATGATTAATTCTCGTCATTCAGTTTTAATTTAATGGTAAATATTTTATTATTTAGTAGCCTATCTTAATTTATATGTAACATTAACTAATCGAATAGGGTTTTAATTTCAATTTTGAGATTCGAGTGTCAGGATTCGTTCTTTGAAGCCAACTGTTGGTTAATATGATCAAAATAAACAGCGAATTCTGTTTACTTAGTTGAGATTACAAAATAAATAAATAAAGATAGGCTACTATATATTGAAATGTTTACAATTAATTAAAAACAGAAATAAGAAAATCAATCATTCAATTTCTAAAATCAGCCAGGGGGTAAAATTCCGGGGGGTAAAGATCCGGGGTAAAATTCCGGGGGTAAAAATCCGGCCCGTACATCTTCAGTTGTCTAAGCTAGTTATATGGACAGGGGGTAAAATTCCGGTTTTTATCGCTAATCTAATTAATCACGCTCTGACTATTTTCATTAGACTTCCAAATCTGCGGGGGTAAAATTCCGACCGCGAACAAACTTTTGGCCACTCAGGTTACTACGTCATAGTGACGTTAGCTTTGCCCAGGGGGTAAAATTCCAGGGGGGTAAAATTCCGGCGACCCGTTTCAATCATTTGAGGTAGAAGAAACTATCTCTTTGTCAAATAGTCCAAAATTGTGTACTAATGCTCAGGTGGTTTAGTGATCCAAAAATGTTGTATTTATTGTTTTTTCACCAGATGGGCATGTTTCACATTGTAATGGAAGACACCACAATAAAACATTCACCACTTGACCTTATACATTGGGAAATTAGGATAACTGTGCGTTAATTATTTATATCTCGAGGTATTTATGGAGTAATTTTCTGGTTTACATAAATTCATTCAATTTAAAATAAATTTCACTAAATTTTGAGTAAATCCATTATGATCTAATTAGTAAATAACAAATTCAAATAATTATCATGGAACTTGCCACTCATGTATTGATTGTTAAAGTGGTGTTTACCGTATGAATAAATGAATAAATAAATTGTAAAAATTAAATTATTATAGGGTACTTACGTATTATACGGAGGCCACCCTTATACAACGCGCTGCGGCGGTTAGGTTTGGTCATCATGAAGCTTTTATGACTTGTCTGGTTCGATTCATAAGGAAAGTAGGAAAGTCCTACAAACATATTTATAATAGACCAACCAAACCTAACCACCGCAGCGCGCTGTAAAATAAATGGCCTCCGTATAATACGTAAGTACCTATTATAGTTATATCAACACAGATTTAATTATAGCTCCTAGCCTTAAACCATGGCCGCCTTTAACTACGTTGCCAGTTCGAAGGCCGCGGCCTGGAGTTAAAGGCGGCCGTGCTTAAACCCATAGCTTATTTGCCTACCGTTGATGTCTACCTGTGTCTGTACAAAATAAAAAATGGTGCCATCAGTTGATCAGTTCGACAGTTCCAACTACCAGCTGTGATTCGACTGATTCGCCAGCTCGCCAGGCTCGCCTGCGCTGCGATTTCTAATTGTCAACTTGTAAAATGTAAACAGTTTACGTTATTTGTGTTTTTGTTTTTACCTGTGCTTCTGGTGTTTTTATTTCATGTGGAAGAACTCATTGGTTTGGTTGATGAACTATTGAGTTATATTTCAATTGTTTTCTATTACAAGTTCAACAAATTTAAGTACGTGCCAACTTATCAAGTGGAACTATGGAGAGTCGAGGTAATTTCCCGGCTTATTTATGCATTTTGTCATGGACTAGTTTTTATTTATATTTAGGCCTACTCACTTCACTTGCTGTCGCTAATTTGATGTATTTTAAGTCAAAGTATACCTATGACATGATAACATGCATTGGCAGAGCCTAGGTAATGTTTGCATTATCAAAGCTAGATAGGCATATCCCTATTTCGTAGGTAGCCTACCATTTGCTTGTTTAGCCCATGCATTTTGAAGGATGCTATTTTGACAACTTCTGTACTGTAGGCTATTCATCCAGGTCACTGATTTCAGCACCTATGTATAAGAGCAACCTATTTTGCCTACCTTAAATGATTGTCAGTCCAAACAAAGCAGTGTGGTCATATTTAAGAAATTTCATTGGTTTTTAGTCCAAGCTCTTGCTAAGAGTATTAAATAAGAGGGTCAAAATACGCTTAAACCAAAACCTATTAATTTGAATTTATTTTCTTTTAACCTCCCAGTTGGATTTTTGTGATGTGACTAGTTGAGTCAACTTCAGTTAAATACAGATTTGTGTTGACTTGATTCAGTTTCTTGTTTTCAGCCCAAGTAAACCATGTTGTTCAAAGGTTTATTGCGGGCATTTTCCATCTCGATAGTAAAAAACAATACACAACGTTTCAGGATCTAGAATCTGACCCCGTCCTCAGGTGAAAAACTTAACTAACACATTACAACTAACAATAGGCATACACAAATACCAACCTAAGTTGGAATACACTACAGAGGGTAGCAGTCAAAAATATGCACTGTATAGCAGTCAAGTCAAGACCTTTGAACAACATTAACTCACCATCACCAACAATGAACTTTAAACAAAGAAGTAAACAATCTTTTACGGGTTAAAACGAAACTCACACTTAAGTAAAATCAAAGGAGGCCAAAGGTCACTAGTCACTCATGTGGACAATGTTGAACTCAATAGGAACCCAAGAACCAGTTGATACCACTAGAAAAGTTGAAACGTTTTTGTCTGTGGCGAGTCCAATTTATGAAATTTATGTAAGTTACGTTATTTACTAAAAGCAAGCCTGACTCACAAAACCTACACTCAATTCGACTAAAGAGAGACAGTTGAATTACTTTATCAGAGTTAGGTCTTACTCAACTTGCAACTTGTTAAACCACAAACTCAGACGAAGAAGCTAAACGAGTTTTTATATATTTATAAATATATAAATATAAACGAGAATACAGTACTGTATAGTGCGGGGAATGACATGATCAGGAGGAAATCGTGTAACTTATAAACTGCTGGTCAACGGGGTTGGTGATGACATCGGGTCTGGGTTTCCCGATCCACTTATTGTTTAATTCACAACTTCTCCTCCCTCCAATATCTTAATTTCAGTGTCGTAAAAATAATTAGATCAAAATGAAATATCCTCGTTGATGATATTTTGCCCATCAAATTGAACGACCCTGTAAATTTTGAAATCTTCCAATTTGTCTCTATTGAATAGGTTGTTTGATAAAATGTAGGATTTTTATATTACTCTTGATATTTGAAATAAATATTGAATCATTTTTTATGTCCGTTTGCATGTGTGCGTCTTATTTATGATTAATGTTTATCCCCTTCAAATGAAGCAAGAATAAATCTTAGTACCAGTACTGGCCTGAGGATGTGTGGAGTGAGTGTTTACATGAAAGTGAAACTCCCTCAGATAGCCTACCCAATAACATAGCCACGACTTTGTTACAAATTTGAACCTTGGTAACACTTAAAAACAAACCACACTTTTCTACAATGACTTTTTTTCGTACAATCAACAATTTGGATTTAAAATTCAATGTGACACACCTATTTTTTAGACAGCGGAATCATGGTAAACCTCCTCAGATGTTGGTTCTAGACTTAAGACCACAGTTCTTTCTATAAGGATCAAGGCCTAAGAGATATATTGTGTTGCAAGAATGAACAACATATTTGCATCAATGAACACTATATGTGAAGTTAATAGCCTACTGTGATGAGATACAAAGGTTATATAGTAAAACAGCACTTCCTAAACTGAAGTTAGTTAACTTGTTTTCTCAAGCTATATTTTGAATATTATTCCATATAGCTTGAGAAAACAAGTTAAGTAACTTCAGTTGTAAGTAACTTAAGTAAGTAAGTTGTAAGTAGGCCTGATTGTTAAGTAACTTCAGTTCAGTGGTAACTGTAACTGAATGGCCAATAAAATCATTTGGATCATTTATTTTAAAGTTACATTAAACCAACGCATCTCATAATATGATCATTAGGGTTTATTCTGAGTAATCATTTATATTATATTTAATTAGAATTTTGACTTTCTGTTAGAATATAGAGTTTAATTAATTTTACCAAAATTATGTGTGTGCTAGAAAATCAGTTAGGCCTATATACTGATTTAGTTATTTGATGCATAGTACTAAAACGGTAGCAATTTTAAACAATCTTTTCTTAATGAAAACTTTACATTTTTAAGTCCATTGTCTTAGGCCTACGCTTGCTTATGTGCATCTGACCAAAAATGCTGTCTCTTTACACTTAGCTAATCACACAAAAACACTTTTATTTTTCTCTAATCATTTCCAGTTATTTTTAACCACATTTCCTAAACTTTATTCTTATCTAATAACAGTTTTACAGATTAATCAGGAAAAGAGGTGCTGGCATTTTGAGAGTGGTATCTGACTCCTTTTCAGTATGTCATCCAAGTTGCTTAGAACAAATCAGCGTAAGCTTCTTCAAGTTTTAAGCATGTTCGCTTGCTACTGACCAAGTCTGGAGCTCATAAGTCTTTGCTTGATCTTGAATGATACTAACCCTAACCTACTAATCATTAGTGATGTAACACAAATTCTTATTCACTGAGAGTTATTATCAAGCACATATTCTATAAGAAGTTAACACAAAGATTATTATATCATGTGTTAGCAAAGGTACAGTTGTGATTTTTATTGTTTCAAGCTAAAGATATTTAATCTTTTCAAAATAGGCTACAGTGGAATTTTGATAGCAAGTCCTTAATAACAAGTGTCATTTTCGAATCCCTTTGAATTAATTTTCCCCTAATCACATGTTATTACAGTACTTTGGTTTTATATGGAGGCCACATATTTTACTGCACGCTGCGGAGCTTATAGGTTGGATTATCATAAATATGTTTGTAGGACTTTCCTCGTTTCGTAATAAACCAAACGATACCAGGTAAGTCATACTTTCTAATTATGATAGCCCAACCTAACATAACCGCTGCAGCACGCTGTATAAGGGTGGCCTCCGTATAACCAAAGTACCGTTATTACAAACCTCAAGAAGTCTATCTTGATAACAAGTCTTATTTAATAATCCCCATGACAGTCTTGTTATCGAGGTTACGGTAGTTCTATTGTAATCAGATTCATGCCTACACTGTAATTTAATTAAAAAGGCAACACAATTCCTGTCCAAAAACCAGACTGATTCAATCATTATAAGGTGGAATTTTTGGGATGAAAGGAGGGATGAAAAATAAAGCCCTTGGCCCTTCATGGTGAAATAATTTCAAAAAACAGTTGGAAGCATAATAAGCTTGATAGGCGTTCTTAAAGTTTGGTTTAATAAGAAGCAATGTTGTGTGTAATATTCTTTATCTGCTCTAGTAGGTATTTTTGGTCTAATATTAGTTTTGGTAAGTTGCTTTATCTGACACAATGTGCTATTGCTATTTTACTTCAAAATACAGTAATTTTCTCAGACATCCTTGTCACTGCTAACCTAAATATTCATTCAGGCTATTATTATATGAGAATGAATAGCAAATTCTTTCATATTTATCTATGCAATCAAAACTAAATAGCTTGGGCTTTGATTTAATATCCATGCAATCGAATCTAAATAGGGTATTTGGATTTGGTTTATTCTGTAGTTTTTCTGTGACGAGGTACAGGTAGTCCTTGCTATAGCCTACATGGTTCTGCTTAGTTGACCAGCTGTGTAGTAGATCCATGATTTTGTATGTAAGCCACACAAGACTTGCATAAGCCAGGATTCTACATCTTTTTTATAATTATTGAAACAATAAATTTCCTAGTGACTACAAGTAAATAATCCCCATCTCATGTAGTTTTGCTTTATGATAGGCTACTTCCCAAGAATGCAACTACTGTACCACATGGCAAGGTCTAGCTGTATTTATAGTGTTATCTGACAACTTAATTGTAAATTATATAAATTACCGTAGCCAGAATTGAGTTTAGATTCATCCATAAATTGTTACAAGGGGTAGAAGTGTCCAAATATGTTACTCTTGGTAAGACTCAACTACAAATCACACACTTCTAACTGGCACAGTATATTGTATTCTAACATGTTAGAAGTAGTTAGAGTGATGATGGGATAATTATGACAATTGTCTCGTAGAGTAAACAGCAAACATATCAGGCATACATCTTAAACAACAGATGTAGGCCTACAACTGTAGATCTAACCAACTTTTAGCGAAGGTGAAAGGTGTAAACTAGTTCATACATCGCTTCAGAAACTTTGATAGTTAACTATTCAGTTTGAAATGTCTACCGATGATGACCATTGCTTTCAATCAATCAGTGAGTTTCTTTTCTGGTCTTTGATTTTGCTGGTTGAATGCATTTTGGTAATTTGTTTGTCGTATCTTTTTAAAACTACAGTAAGATTAAATTTAAATTGGTATTTGATTGCCTAGTATTTGGTTAATCTTTAGTAATTTTGTTGGGGTTAATTTTTTTTATTCATGATATACATGGTGGGGCAATGAAAGCACCCCAATTTTATTTTGCTGTCACTTGATAAGTAGCCTAATGCAACAATGAACATTTCTGATTTTAACACCAATTAAACTATGTCATTATAGTAAACATTGTGCTATGGTATTAGAATAGAATAGAATAGAAAAAGTGCTTTATTGATTACATATTATGTACATTTCATGAAATGGATACGGTAGTTTTGTTACATAGCGCATACAACAATGGTCATACGACCGTCTGCTGGTTTGGCATAATGTCCATTCAATATTAATTGTCCCATATAATCAGCACACGTAGTACTAAAACAATATAAAATCACACTTCTTTAGGCAACTCATATACATACGTATATACACATACACATGTATGCATACATCCACATATATGTATAATTTTAACACACATAAACCTATTTTTTATTATATTACATATATAAATCATTCAAAATGGTTTTCAACAAATACCTACAGGTAGTTTTTAAGATTCAAAAATTTAAAAATTAAATTCCCTAACTAACTTCCATCTACGTTTCCATGCAATTTTTAAAAAACTTCCAAGGCCCCGCCAATCCTTCCCATTCAAATAATCCACAAACTCCTCATATTGTATTTTTGGTTTCCCAAAATACAAGAGTCGCAAGTAATTGAACACAGGGCAACCAGCCACAAAGTGTAAAACAGATTCATTTTCGTTTAGATTACACAAAAAACGTGTGTAATTTTCGTTGACAATCTACGGTTTATAGTTGAGATCGTTAAGCTCTCCCCTACATTTCATTATCCAAGAAATGGTTCAGTTGACTAAAACAAGTTTCCAAGAAGATATTGTTGCCAGGGTCAAAGTCAATGACGAGGTATTGAGAATGATAAGCTGAAGCACGCGCTCTGCCTAGACACTCAGCTCTCCAGCTATCTCTTGCTGCATTTACGACACTAACTAATTGAGACTTTAACCTACCACTCCCCGCCTCCTCAATCGTATCTATAGTCAGGTCCATTTGCACGCCATATTTGATTCCTAATGCTCTCCACGCTATAACCAATCTACATTTTGTCTTAAGACTTCAGCGACTAATATTCTTGGCAAACGCTCAGGTGGTAGCCCCAATATATTTATTATATAATTAAGATTCATTGAGAGAGCATAAATGTGTAATTTATCTAGACCTGTTTCCAAGTACAGTGAGTAATTTATCCATTTAGTGATAAGTGCAACTGAACAGTGCAAAAGTGAGTAAGTGCAACTGAAACAGCTTCCTAATAAATAACATTTGTACAGATTCTACATAAATATCCCCATACCTGGCCTCCATAACATAATATTCATTTCACAACAGCGTTAAAACATACAAATTTTGAGGACAGAGGCACCCTGTCATTGTTTATTAATTTGTTCCAGGTGGTGTTCATGGCTAATTTTGCAGCTAAGGACTTTACCTAAAAATGTTATTCTCAACTTAACATTGACATGAATAAGACCCCCAGAAATTTTTAAGAGTTAACAATCTCAACCACTTTGCCTTTATAGAACCATTTATTACTTTTTGTCAATCTACCTCCTTTACAAAAAACCATAATTTTCGATTTATTAGTATTAACTTGAAGATTTCATAAATTGCAATAAAGTTCAAGTTTTACAATCATTTGTTGCAATACCACAGCTGTGGGAGCTATTAAAACTGTCATCCGCATACATTAGGATATTTATTTTCTGACCTCCAAATAAACAGCCGCCCTCTAAAAATTCTGGCAAATCATTTATTAATATTAAGAATAGGGTAGGGCTGAGATTACAACCCTGTTTTAAACCCATCTTCGATTCAAAACTACTTGTAACGCCATTTTTACACCTCACAGAAATATTGGTTTTATAGTAAAGATTTTCAAGAAGCTTGGCAAATTTGATTGAGACTCCTATACAAAATAATATATAAATTAAGGCTTTTCTGTCTATAGTGTCGAAGGCTGCTGTCAAACTCGTAAATCTTTTACCGACCAGGCAATAAAGGAAAGTCCTCTATAATTCTCAACAGAATTTGCATCGCCCTTTTTGTGCAGCGGGAATATAATTGATTTTTTAAACTTTCCACTACCTTGCAATTGTTAAACATGTTATTATAAATCTCCAATAGTCTAGTGAGCAGTGAAACTGGGGCGAATTTCCATCAACCTGGCTAGACCTCCAATCAAATATCCCCTTAAAAGTGTCAGATTTTTGTCCTACTCAAATAAAATTAATTGTACCTACTTAGGTGTGCTGCTATAGGGAAGGTAATCTGATGTCTTTTTATTGAAATGTTGATAGCTTAATATGAAATAAAAAAAAATTACCAAATTTGTTCAAAATATATCCATAAACAAGCAAATTACAACAGTTGATTTTTTCTCCATAACAATAACATGGGAATTTTAAATTTAAAATTTTTTTAAATATGTTCTGTATACCTAACTGTTAGGCATACAACAATGCTTCAATCAATATATAAGTTATTTATTTATTTAAGCGCTACAAAATAGTTGAGAAAGAAATTGCAAAATTTCATTTTTTCAGGATCAAAAATGAGGAAACCCAATTTTTACCCCATAAAACCACCCATAAACCCTCGTTCCCCAGTCATGCTGCTAAGCGAACTCGTTGGGATAAATGTATGTTTATGTACCAGATTTTATCAAAATCTGATCATTTTTGCGCGAGTTATTGTATTAACGGACACATATATAAATATATATATAAATTAGAATGGATGGTGTTTTTGACCTATGGGGACCTCAAAACGAAAAAGTAAATTGGTCCTGGCTTCAGGTCTTACTATGCGACCTATGGTAATAGCTTATTCCCTATGTGGGAAATTCGCTTATAGAAACGGTGGAAGCTGCAAATTCTTTGTACACCAGCATGCCAATGAACTTGCATGCATGTGTATAAGTCACATTAACTTAATTAAAAGACCAAAGATGTTTGCCAGGAAGCTTTCATCGTGGGAAGCTTTACGTTGGTTTTTCCCTTTCTTTGGGGTTCTCCCTATAAGCTACTTTATGTTCAAGGTTTTTCAAAGTCGCCCAAGGGATTTGCTTGAACTGAAACTAAGAATTGTCATGAAATTAAGCGATTCCTGAAGAAATATTGGAACAAGTATTCGATGGAATAAAAAAAAAAGGATTTTCACTAAAAAGGAATGTCAAATTAGGACAAATTGTAAATGGCTAAATTGTATGATGACATGTCAAATAAAAAGTTATTTGTTTCAAAACCCATTGATCAAGAGCTGGTTCCATTTTCGAAGCACCAAAAAGCTTCTGACTTCCCTCAGTATTGAACTAGTAAACCTTTAGATGAGCACTATAACCATTTTTCTATGCCATTTATATTGGCTCTTTCCGATTCAAGTAAGGCAGCCTACAAACCTAGACCCTTGTTCATTATGATAACCTCAATGTGAAATGTTTGTTTTTTTGGAGACTTTATCTTTGTTGTGATGTTACAGGGAAAGTGCGTATGCTGAAGGTGGTCAGCCTGGTCACCCTGACGCTACAGAATGCTGTCTTGGGACTCAGCATGCGATACGCCTGTACCAGAACCGGTGACAAGTTCCTCTCCTCTACAGGTAAGCTTACCTAAATTCTTCTCATATATTTCTAATATTCTTTTGAATGAACAGCAAATCAAGACAAATTCCGTTAGCTGTCCACCAATTTTAAACCTTTTCCATTGGAAAAATAGGCTTCCTTACCTCTGTCTGTAGTTTAAATTTTCACCAGCAATATCCTGCTAACTCGTAGTAGTAGCTATAGTAGTGCTAACTAAAGCATATTGTTTAGTTAATAAAAAATGCATTTCTAAAAAAAAATTACTTGTATAAAACAAAATTGATCTGACAGTTAAAAATATCAAATCCAATTTGCAAAAAACAGTGTTTGTGGGCACCAATTACAGAAAGCTGTAGACTAAACCTATTGAAAGATGAACAAAACAGAATGTAGTTGCCAAAACACACAAGAATGCTCCATATGTTACTGTTTAACCAAGTATGTTAGTAAACATGTTCTGTTGTGTAATTAGTGAGGTCCATAAACCAAGAGACAAGAGATTCCCAAACATTGTCCCAAGTGTTCACTAATCTAGTCTAGTATGTCTTGAGCTAAGCAGGATGATAAATTATCATCAATGATAAATCACTTTTGAAGTATTAAGTTCAATTAAAACAATTCAATTCATATCCACCCAAAAAATGGTATTAATATTTTGATTGTATTGTTAATATTTTTTTAGAATCACATGTGGTTTTGTATAATCAGTTCATATCATAGGCAGTATGATATTCATGAATTAAATTACCACGTAATCAGCAAATTAATGCTATAAAGGGTTTTTCTTTATAATCATGCCTTGTTGTTTTACTCGTTAATAACTTAAAATTATCCTTCATGTGTTGCATAACCTAATATTACAAACATGCGCCAAGTAGATCGACCAAAATTATAAAGGTAATTTGTAGATATTAATTTTTTTCCAAAAATAATCCTATTGCCGCATGAAGCTAAGAGTATTCTGGTCTGAAATTGTCTTTATTTCATAGTGTACACAAATCAGTACATGGAATGGCGTCAAAAACTATTTCTAAAACTTAACCTAAAGAAAACAAGTTTAATAGAAATAAAAACTAATTTGACATGTATTCTTCTAAAGAGTATATAGGTAGGTTATATTGTCAAAGGCTCCTTAAATGTCAGTGAAGGTGCATAGGGCTATTTATTTAACAGCCAGGTTGGTTGTCCTGCTGACCAGTTTATTCAGAGTAGTTTCAAAGGACTTCCCTGACTGGTAAGAGTGTTGGTTGTGATAAAGGGGTGTGTTTAGAAGCACACCCTTTTTATGTACCTCTCCACCAGTCTCTCCAGGGTCTTGAGGAAAAAGGAGGAAAACTGAAGGGGCAGAACGATTTGGCCTCAGAGTAGTCTGCTTTTCCTCTTTTGGGTCTGCCTGAGTAATATACCTGTATGCCAGGCTTTGCTCTAAAGAGTTCACATAAGAGGAGCTTGAGGGCATTCGATCCTTACTGAAGAATATCTGGGTATTGCCGTCTCCCCTATGAGACTCGAATGGGCCTAACTGGTTGATTGACCATTTGACTTTGGATAGAGTGACAACCCTTCTGGCTACGGTTAAGCTTTGATGATCAGTTGGCCCACCCCTTTGCTATCTCTCTAAAAAATGCAGCAGAAAAGTTCATGGAGTTTCATGGAGAAGTTCCACCTACCCCTCTGGTGTATTGTACTCCTAGTAGCTTAAGAGATCCCTAGAGGCCAAAAGGTTTGGACGCTATTTTGATTGTGAGGTTGTATTCTTTCAGTGACCTTCTGTGTGGCTCCCGGTTACGGCTCATTTATTGTATTATAAACATTTTGTTTTTCTTATCTTCTGAAAATATATCTGATGTGCACAACTATTGTACTAGATTTAATGATCTTTCCACACTAAGGCATGTGTATAAAACTACTCAAAACAGTTTTGAGTACCAAGGTGTTAAAATATATGATTTCTTGCCTGTCTCCATCAAAAACTTGTGTGTTTTAAAATTCAAACATGTCTTAAAAACTACTCTAACCCAGGACTGCCTGTACAAACAAGAAGAGTACGGTACTTTGGTATAACGTTTTAGTTATTATAGTTTTAATGCCAGAGCCATCTTGATTGTTTTGTTTTTCTTTTGACGATCGTCATGAACTTTGTAATTTTAACGACAATAAATCATTCATTTATTGAATAGCTTCCTAACGCTTGCCCTCATGCAATTCAAATCTGGAGTACACCATCTAGTGTTAGAACTGTGTTTTATCTGTACTGGGGAACTATTGTCATGGAAGCAAGTGACCATAGCGTTCTGTAAGTCGGTCGTGATGCGGTCAATGACTGCAAAGCAGCTGACCTTCTCACACACAGATCTCTTTGGAACTGCTGGTCAGAGTTGTACCAGTCGGTTCTCCTGGGATTTCAAAAGGAGGGAGTGGCAGTGTCACTTAGCATACTGAAGCAGATATACCTATCATGAGATAACAAGGCCTTGCTGACTAACGTGCCGGATGTCTATGATTCTATGGATGTGTTCTGAAATGACAGGAATGTCCATGTCAATGACCTTCTGTCCAGTTTGTGTAACAAACGTAAGTTGGATACCCACATTACAAATATACAGGATGTTTGAGATAAGATATCGAAGAAGAACCTCACCATCATTTTAATTTGGTTTTTGGTTTTTTTCGCGAACTTTAACTTTGAAATCTTATAATGACCACCATTTTGAAATTTTGACCATTAAAAACTGGACAAATTTGTATTAACAGACTTTTACAACCAAAGTGTCATTGTATTAGGAGTTAAAAGTGTTTTAAATTTAAAAACTTATCATATAATTTTGATTTGGTCGCTCAATTTCATAAGAGTTAGGTACTATTATAAATGGACGTAATTTTGAAGTTATAAAGAATGTTTTTGGAAAGTTTTAACAACCAAACTTTAAAGTTTGTTCCAAGTTTCATAAAAATATCACCAAGGGGCTCTTGAGTTATTAATTATTTATGAAAAATGTTAATGGCAAATTAAAATCAAACTAAGCAGGAATAAAAAATATGTTACTGGATATTTTTGACTTATTTTGGGTGTATAAAATATGGTTCTGCATAGCCTGCTACTCATTTTTGCTGCACACTGTAAATGATGTTGATGTTGCACATAAGTATGGCATAACTATGAGCTTAGATAAAAGGAGGGTTCTAGGAGTTCATAATTTCCCAAGTCAAGTATTTTTCTTTACTTAGACATTAAATGAAACAACACTGACTCAAGGAGTAAACATGCTCTCAGGTAGATCCATTGAATATTGTTTTTTGTTTTTCTCTTTGACTACACTTTCATGTGATTGGTTTGACTTGTAAGTGTGGGTTTACTATAGTTTTGCATCACGACCAGAAGTGTCTAGGCCTACTTTGTTCAGCTTTCCTTGATGTGATCTATTTGTGATTTTGTTGTTTTTTTTACTACTATACTTTTCAAAATGTGGTTTTTTTCTTGTGATTTCCCTGATTTGGTTGGGGTTGTTTATAAATCAGTATCTTCTTCTAAAGCAAATCAATTGGCTGCATAATCAATGTCCATGAACCGCAATTCTATCTGAAACTTAGTTGTGCACTTTTCAAAATTACGTGCAACATTAAATTCTCTTATACACAAATTTCCAGTTCCAGTACCACCAAATGTGTTATTATTTAGGCACTTTCTCTCCTGTGGACAGGATTAGATTCCAGATACCAAAACGTTGTGAAACATTGGTTTGTACCACAGGAAATTATAAAAAATCTTCAATATAATTATAATATATCTAAAACATCTAATAACATAATTTTACCATCATCAAAGAATGGACTTCCAAAGAAAGAAAGGATGACCCTGAGTTTCCTGCCACAGGTTTGAGTAATACTGTTACACCCTCTTTCTCTGGGGAGAGGGGGGTGGGTCTTCAATAAAAATACAAGTGACTTCTTACCTTAAATACTCCGTTTAATTTTTGATTGTCCCTTACAAAGCCACGCTCCTTCTCTGACCCTGTATACAATTGCTGAACTCTAGGTATGCATACATCCTAGGCCTGTTTGTCCATCCTGGTCCTCTGCCTCTCTTTGTGGAAGACGTCTCCTCTACGATGAGGACTCGTTGTAGAGCAGCTATTCCTTCCTTCCTGCAGGCTAGTCTCAACGACTCTCCAGGTACACCCTCTGTGTCGACTCCCTGCACCACACACCTCGTGAAGACCGTCCTCGGTAGGCACCACCCTCCGCAACTCTCCAACATACACTCTCCACTGCACTCTCATTACAAGTGTTCACTGCCCCCCTCCACAGCATTGAGGGCAACAGTCTGTCGCTTGGGATCTTCAACGATGATGTATTCTAGACAAGGGAATTAGGGCCCCTTGTCACAATACCTACTCCTCAAAATGAGCCTAGAGACCAACGGATATTAAATCTAGGATGCACTTTCATCATCTTAAACTTATTGTAATTCAAAATGATTTCTTTGTTGTAGCCGTATTCATGGCTGAGCTGGTGAAGCTGGTAACCAGTCTAGCTCTCGTGTATAAAGAAGAAGGCAGTAGCAAGCGATGGATAGCAACACTACACAACAACATTGTCAACCAACCGATGGATACTCTCAAAGTGTGTGTGCCTTCGCTACTGTACATCATCCAGAACAATCTCTTGTATTTGTCTGCTTCCCATCTAGACGCAGCTACGTATCAGGTACTAAAATCACTATTTATTTCAATTTAATAAATTTAGAAAATAAGGTACTAAATGTATTAAGGTTGTTGAAGGTGTAATAAGTTAAATTTTACTCATTTAACTTATTATGTCACACTACTACGTTTTACTTTCTTTTTTTAATAGGTGGTCAAGTGGCAAAGCTACAAAAGGTAACATTATGTGACTAATGTCGGACGAAGTGTGATATTTTCGTGTTCAAACTACTCGAGGAAGAACATATATTCACATACAATTTTAGTAAGAATATTTTTAAAGCTCTTCTGATTTAGTGCAGGAAAAAAATGTAAAAATTAGCTTAATATCGTATTTTTAATTTTTCAAGCTGAAAATTGGTGGAGATGTCGTACGCAAAGCTGGGAACATCATACTAAAATTCCCAAAAAATCCCACTTAGGAACATGCCGCCATCTTGGAAAAATGGCCGCCATCATGGATTTCCCCCCTTAAAACCCGTGCGGTTTGTTTGCTCCACATTATTTGTCGGGTTGTAATTCAAATATTTAAAGGTTATTACATATAGTTGTGTATGGAAATTTAACATTTTAATGAAAAATTTACCAAAAGTAATTGCAGAGTAATACTGGTCTTGCAGTAAAAATTGATAAAAGACCTCTTTTACTCATCGGGGAAAACTTACCTGAGTAAATCTTTTAGAACAAATTAAGATGCACAAGAATATGTGATTATATTTTGTTTTTCGTCCATAAGTACGCCGTCATATTGATGTTGAACCTAAGTTTATAGACTGTTACAGCCTAAGTTTTAGACCGCACCGTGTTGGTGACCGTAATAGAATGTTGTAAGACAGTAATTATGACAGTGGTGGAAGACCCTGAGCCACTGCGATAGGAATATGCGCACATTGTTAACCGTTCCTTCCTTGTTCGTCACAAGTACATTTCTGCCCCAACATACCAGAGCTGAAAAAGCACAGTTGTCCCATAAGCTTGTTTCCTCTGTACCTTATTTCTCTATGATTAGGTTTAACCTGGATAAATCACATTTTTAATACTATCAAAGAGAACTCCACAGAATATTTGAGAGAAGCCTAGTGTCTTTTATTATCGTTTATTGTATAGGCCTACTAAATTAAATTATAAAAATTAATTTATTGAAGTATTTCAATATACCTGTGAGAAAATGTTCTGAGATAGGAAAAACGTGCCTAAGTACCCAGTTTGATTGCATTGATGCTGTTATAGGTAACATACCAGCTAAAGATCTTGACAACGGCCATGTTTGCTGTGACGATGCTCAAGCGAACGTTGCTGGCACAGCAATGGGCTGCTCTGGTGCTTCTGGCGCTGGGAGTGGCAATGGTTCAACTGACCGGTGCCTCTGACACGGCTGTCAACAACGCTGAACAGAACAGACTTATCGGCTTCGCTGCTGCAATCGGTGCCTGTGTCTTGTCAGGTTTTGCAGGCATTTATTTTGAAATGATCTTAAAGGGATCTGACATATCAGTTTGGATGAGAAACGTTCAGCTCAGTTTTCTCTCCCTGCCATTTGGCTTGTTAACTTGCTTCGCCAAAGACATGAGTGCCATCCGGAACAACGGTTTCTTCCACGGATACGATTGGTTCATCGCTTACTTGGTCGTACTACAGGCGGGTGGAGGACTAATGGTGGCGATGGTAGTTAAATACGCTGACAACATATTGAAAGGGTTTGCCACTTCCCTCGCTATTGTGATATCTTGCATAGTGTCTGTGTATCTCTTTGACTTTATGATAACATTTCAATTCGTTTTAGGAGCTGCTATGGTAATAGCTTCAGTATTCCTTTACAGTTACAGTCCAAAAACCAAACCCACCAAGAGCGTTATGGACTCAGCAAAAGAATCTTTGCTCAAAGTTTAATTGTTTTCCTTAAAGTTTAATTTATTACTTAGTTTGTAAGTTTTTCTCAAGGACACAAATAATATGTATTATAACAATTATATTTACAGTTATTTCAAATGATTAAAAATATTGAATAATTTCTACAACAAGGATGATTTTTGATACTGTATCGATTTACAGTTGTAAATATACTTACTATGTCAGTAGGAGCCTTATTGTTATAAGACAGGTTAGTTAAGGAAGATTCTTCTTAAATACTTATTAAGTGTTTCGAACACAATTTAAGACAAGTGACATGACAGATCAAATAACTTCCTACTCTATAAGAAAATACGCCCGCCGCAGCAACCTTGCAGACTAAGCGAAGTTCCATTTCTCTGATTGGATTTTCACTTAAATATTTCCTTAAACATGTCAGATTTATTCCCTATTTAATTAACATTAGGGTTAACAATTACTAAGGTTTGCTGCTACAGGGAAGGTAAAAAAGTGTGTTATTAGTAAACTAATTATAGCTTAGTATAAAATTAATAACTTGCCAAGTTTGATCAAAATATATCAATAAACAAGCAAACCATAACAGATTACTTCTCCATAAAAACACAGCAGAATTTTAAATTTAAAAGTTTTTGAATTTCCTCCGTAACTAATAACACTTAATTTTTTTAAGCTCTTCAAAATGGTTCCGAGAAAATTAATACATTTTATGTATTGAGGTCAAAAATGAAAATATAACAATTTTTACCCCATAAACCCCCCATAAAACGCTGTTCCCATGGTCCGATCATGCTGGTTTACACGTTTGTACCAAATTTAATCAAAATCAGATGATCTTTGCTCGAGTTATAGTGCTAACAGACTCACATATACTAACAGATTTTTGAGATCTGTATATGAATATCATTCATATACTAGCAACCTGGGTCACTTTGTGACTTAATAAGTCCATGATATATTTGATATTAGTTGATAAGGATGAAAACGATTATGTCTCATCACATCGCTATTATATGCATTACGAAAGCCCTATTATTTTCATTGCGTGCGCGATCTTTTCGAGGTATCTAAGAAAAATTACAAATACTAACGAAACAGACTATGAAGACTCAAAACTAACGTAAGTCATTTTCTTCTATACATTTTGCACAACTAACATTACAATACTTTACTTGAATTCCCTAAAACCTCAATACAACATTATATGAGGACACACAATCTCACAACACAATATCTAACGTAAGTCATTTTCTTGTTTACATTTTATGCTACGAACATTACAAAATTTTACTTGAATTCACTGTAACATCACCTACTACAGATAACCCCATTTTCGTATGGATGTAAACAAAATTGTATCACGGCCATCCGTTTTGATGTAAACAAATGTAAACTTGAAAAAGTTTAGATGATTGACAACAGAATTCAGAACAAACTATGAAATTTTAAAAGCCTCTACGACGAAGGGCTTTTACGGGATATCATCCAAACCCGCAAAAGGCACATCTAGAGGATAAGAGCTTTAAATCGACACCCAATTGTCACCCAATTTATATAAAAATAAATATTTAGGGGTCGATTTGCTGCATACAAAAATCCAACCAATTCTTTTAATAATATAGATGATTATATATATATATATATATATATATATATATATATATATATATATAAACATATATATGAATCTAAGCGGATGGTATTTTGGCCTCTGGTGACGTAAATTGAAAAAAAAAGTAAATTGGTCCCAGGTATTACCGTGAGACCTACGGTAACATCCAATTCCCTATATGGGAAATTCACTAAAAGAAATAATGTGTAGGCATTACGATTTAGACATGAGTAATATAGTGGATTCGGCACATGTCTGTCATGACTGATACTTTTTAGTCACCTTTTACTTTCAATAACTAGCTTTGGAATCAACATACAGTTTTGCCATTGTCCTTTCTAACTTAGATTTTCATTCATTTCTTTAGTTTCCCTACACTTTTTTCAAACAAATTTTTGCTAAGGCTTTATTTTTTTATTATTTATTTATTGTTGTCATGAGAGCCGAAGCCCCCTGACTGCATACCCGGTACCTATCCTTTAGGACATACCCGGGCCCCATGATGTAGGCCGAAGCTTACGCATCAACCTTTAGCACATCATGGGCGGATGACTTAAGGTCATCAGGCTCGCCGGCTGCCGAAGCAGACCCTTCGGAAAGAGGGTTGCCCCTCAATCCTAACCAGGGATTCCGGCTGCTTGTTTAAGCGTCACTCCACCTGGGTTCCACTAGGTCGGGACCTAGAGGTCCATGGTAGAGCGCCCCGACGCATTTAGTGCAAGCAACACTCGGGACCTATCTAATCCCTGACAGGCAGAACCCGCCATCGATAGCCAGGAGGAAGGGGACCATCAGCACGCTGACGGGGGGAACCCCAACCTCCCATTTACACCGCTGCCCGATCGAGGCCTTACCCATTGCTGGGAAACCAGAGATAACCAGAGCGATAGATCCCCAGATACCCCTGGCGGGCTCGGACCCAGCACCCGATCTACTTCGTTTGCCCGTCAGACCCAACATCACTGCCAGGCCATCAGGGTTTCCCAAAAGGAGGCAGGTATAGAAGTGGGACCCACCCGGATGAACCTATCCACCAGAGGTGGCGACACCCTTGACTCAATTGAGGTTCCGGGAAGAACCCCCCACACTCAAGATAACCATACTGTCCGTGCTCAGAGACAGGGATTGGTTTGCATAAGTACCTACAAACCGTTGCCCTCACACTGCGGAAAGTTACGTTGCCCTTGAGTGTCCCCGTGAGCTGCGGGTACTTGCCCGTTTTCACCTCCAGGAAAGGTTACTTCCAAAGTCGAGGATTTGCCCACTGAATGCTGGTCGCACACAACAAGCAGGCCGAAGCCCAAAGAACCACAGACACAGGTAGGTTAGAGATTATGATGTACTTCCATCTCTCCTAGAGCTAAACACCCCTCCATCCTGGATAAAGGAATGTCACTGGGACCCGATGCCCAGTCGTCCATGTCTGTGGACAACTTGAAAATGCTGATACCAACACGGAGCATTTACCTCCCCTCTGGGGGCTAGGTATTTCACCTCCCAGGACGAGGCTACTTCCAAAGTCGAGGATATGCCTCACAAAATGCCAGTCGTACACGACAGGTAGGACTCAGTCACAACCACAAGCTACAGGCAGGTGAAAGATCTATGAACTTAATCAACACTAGCAGAGCTGAACACCCCCACCACCCTGAATGGAGGGAATGTCACTGGGTACTCTCACTTTGGGTAAACCCAAAGAGGCTGGCTTGTCCAGTCGTCCATAGCTTGTGGTCTACCTGAAGTGCCGGTTCCAACACCGGGCAATTACCTCCCCTCTGGGAGAGCTAGGGTCCGCGTGGTCGCCCAGGCCACGAACCCACGCAAAGGCTTGCTAAGGCTTGGTGAAACCATTTAACAATTAATTAGTGAATTGCCATTGATTCCTCCACAATGTATGAAATGCATTGTGGAACACAAACCATTTGCCATTAAACAACTTATTACCTGCTATCAATTTAAAATAGCTGATATTTTTATAAATTACACTGATTTTAATTTCATTATCTCTCAAATACTCAACTGCCATGTCTCAGAGATGCCCCACTGTTCCTAAAACGTAAGACTTGTGCAATAATTGTACCAGCTTCAATTTGTTCGTCTTCCAGCCATTTTAGCAAAACTTTAGATTAGTATTTGAGTAGTAACATACAACATAGTGGATAATAACAACTTTTTGGATTCAATACATTTTAATATAAATTGAATTTTTTACAATGTTATGCAACATAATTTACGGAAGTCTAAAGGGGTCAAGAGTTGTACAAAGTTTACTCTGATAAACTATCAAAATGTAAAATGATAGTATTTTCTACGCTGAATTATCCTAAAAAATCTTAATCTTTTTTTTATTGATTGTTTTTAGATAGTTTTTATACATTGCAATAACAAAGTTAACATAGCAGTATTTAAAATACCCTCGCCGCAGCAAACCTACAGACTAAGCAAATTTCAATTTGTCATGTTGGATTTTTACTAAACTATTTCCATAAACAAGACATTATTTGTTCCTCATTAAATAACATTAGATTTAATGAGTACCTAGGTTTGCTGCTACGGGGACGGTAAAAAATGTTTTTGTCAAAATGTTAATTTAAAAACAACAACAGTGTTGTTTAGCTGTACAACAACGGTTCAGTACAAAATTATTGATTCTTAAGCTCTTCATGACTAACAAAAATGGGACATTTTCATGTTTTTAAAGGGTTAAAATGAAAAACCAATTTTTGAAAATTTCAAAACCCTACTTACACCATGTCTAGATAATACTCCTTTCCCATGACCCAATCTGGCTGGTTTGCAAACTCATCAAGATTATCTTGCCCTTCACCTTCACGCCAAATTTCATCAAAATCAAACTATAATAATTCGATTTATCACGTTTACGGACGCGAATTGATACTTTCATATCAAAATGTACTTAAATAGAATATATTCAAATCTAATGTTTTTAACATAAGACTGTTATTTAAAAAAATGTTACCTTATTTGTATTCATAAAATATAAAACTGAAAACTACTTTATTTTAAAATGGAAAATGTTTTTAAAATGTAGAATATTAATGTTATTCATCACACTAGGTTTTAATTAATGTAAAAACAAATTAATTTGTTTTTTAAGTTATTACGTACAGTTTGTGTGTGTAAGATAAGTCTGAAGACTGTATTATAATATATGCTATTGTGTTTAAAACGTGCAGTTAAACTGCAATAAATGGCTTAGTGTATGATTGTTATTTTTATTACTGTATATAAAATTCTCTTTGCTTAAAAACCACGAGTGAAATGATATATTACCCATTTAATCCTTAGTATAGAATTTTGTTAGTGAATATATCAACAAAGTAGAGAGACATGGTACCGGTACAACATCCTCAAGTAAATAAATATCTCAGCTAAAAACTACTATTTGCAAATTCTTCAGATCTGTATAAAATTTATTTAGAAAATTTCACATAGATGCAAAATTTAAAGCAAAAAACTTAGTTGTGATCATTAACAATGACATCAGTTTTGGCAACTAGATCCATTTCTGGAAAAGCCTGCAATCGATTACAACACAGTTACCTTAAATCCAGATCTAAGAAAATCTGGGCATCAGAAAATCAGTGGTGATAAAAAAATAAGATACAGTATTACATTTTTTGTTATATGCAACTTTTGTTTGTTTAGTTTCTTCATTTTTGAGCGATTTTCCTCCTTACAAAAACTATTTTATTATTTTGATCTCCTAGACACTTTTTGTATTGATGTGGATTATATCATTGAGTTACTACATAACTCAGTGAAGTGAGTGAACTGAGTGGAAGTTTATAACTGGATGAAAATTATGGGACTTTGGTACTGTATTATTTGCCTTAAAACCATAACAATAATTTCTAGGTACAATTACTATGACTTAAACATTCTTGTGAAATACTAATAATTCATGATCAAAATAATGTGCATGATACACTGGAATTTTGAGTTTCCAGATTTGTAGTATAATAAAGTGTATAAGAACAAATGGGTGCAAAGCTTAAGTCTTTTTGATAGTTTTTCTATTAATTAGGAAATAAAGATCAATTCCCAGATAGTAATTTGTTAATAAATTACTTATCTGTATATCAACAATACAATGTCTATTGTTGTTTTATCAACTGTGTTAATACTAAACAAATGTTTTTAAACTGTCAGTTGTTATCAACTGACACTACTGACATTTTTTTTTTTTTTTGTCCTAAGGACGCTAGGCACGAGCCTGGGATTTTAATAGGTCTCAAAATATACTGATAATATCAACAGACTATAATACTGTTGAGAAATAAAGTATATATAGGATGGCCACTAACGGCTTTCTATAAGGGTATAGGAGCTTGTCTAGGACCAAATTCTGTCTTCACCACTAATGCTGTATCGGTTTCTGCTCCATGGTTTTCTCTCAAGCCACTTGTTCTTTACCTCACTCAAGGCTCAAGGTAGACATAAAAAAATGTTTTAATACTTATCTAAGAAACTATAAAATACTACGTAAAAAAATGTAGATCTCTTGGGTTGTTGGATCCAGAGAAACATTGTACAATTAACGACAGAACGTTCATTTTTAAATTACTTAGAAAGTATCAAAGCTTTTTAATAAACATATTTTCCCAAATTTCAAAAAGCTTACATAATTATTGTTGTTGGCTAAACAATATACACCAACAGTAGAGCCAGAAAGATTGGTTTTGGATAAAATATATACATTATCCAATTAGTGAAAGATATAAAAGCAATAACTTGTTGAAAAACAAAAGTACAGCAGATTTTCTTGAGCCATTTTTAACGAAACCACTTGAGATAATTTCCAACCAACAGCCATTCAATAGTCATTAAATAATTTTCATTTGCGTGACTTATAAAGAATAATCATGTAAATAGTAAAATAATTCTTATATACGTTTTTAAAATGCTGGAAAGGAGCAAAGGAC